AAAAGCAATGGATAGGAAGACCAGAAAAATAATGACAATGAATCATGCCCTTCATCCACACAGTGACATTGACAGACTTTATATACCAAGGCAAATAGGTGGGCGTGGAATGCTGCAAGTACATCAGATGGTAGAAGAAGAAAAAATGGCTTTGTAAGAATATCTGAAGGACAGTGATGAAGATGCACTGAAATTAATATATCAAGAAGGTTTATTGACTACTGGAGAGACCAAACTGGCCTACAAGAAAGACCAAATGAAGAACAGAATAGAGGCATGGGAAGACAAAACACTACATGGCCGGTACATAAAAAAAAAATAGCTGGGAAAGCAGATAATAACAAGACCTGGCAATGGCTAAGAGCAGGAAACTTGAAGAAAGAGACTGAGGGAATAATTCTGGCTGCAAAGACCAAGCCTTAAGGACGAATGCATATAAAGTCAAAATTGAGAAGCCAGCAATAGACAGTAAGTGCCACCTATGCAAAGAAGCTGAAGAAACAGTGGACCACCTGGTAAGCTGCTGCAAGAAGATCACACAGATTGACTACAAGCAGTGGCATGACAAAGTAGCAACAATGGTGCATTGGAAGATCTGCAAGAAATATCATTTGCCTATAAGCAAGAACTGGTGGGATCATAAATAGAGAAAATCATAGAAAATGGTAAAATTAAACTGCTCTGGGACTTCAGAATTCAAACAGACAAGCACCTGCAACATAACACCCCGGACTTAACAATTGTCGATAAGAAAGACAAAAAAGTCTGCATAGTGGACGTGGCAGTGCCTGGAGACAGCAGAACAGAAGAGAAAGAACTGGAGATAACAAAATACAAAGACCTACAAATAGAAAGACTGTGGCAAAGGCAAGCAAGGGTAGTACCAATAGTAATAGGCGCCTTGGGTGCAATCCCAAGAAAACTGGAGCATCACTTGAACACCATCATTGGCATTGACAACTTTGCCATTAGTCAATTGCAAAAGGCGGCCTTACTAGGAACTGCTTCCATCCTGCGACGATATCTGTAATACCATCAAACATCCACATCTGCCTATCCCAGTCCTTGGGAAGGACTCGATAGGTAGACAAAAATGCCAAATCCAGTCTGAACATCTGGCTAACTGTGCGACGATCCATAACAATAACAATTACTATTATTATTATTCTGGGAGTTGAAGTCCACAAGTCATAAAAGGACCAAGTTTGAAGACCCCTGCTTTAACGTCTCTTTTCTTCTAAGGCTGCCTTGCTTCTTGACAACTCATCCTTTTATAAAACTTCATAAACCTGCAACTTATTTTCTTTTGCTGCAGCAATATATTTAGTTTCAGAGCTTTTAATGACTGTCACTCACGATTCTTGCTATTTTTTCCTCTTCTTTTTATGTCTGACTCAACAGTGGCTACATGGTGCCTTTTTTAAATAGGAGTGGTGGGGGGGTGAGCAGATGAAATGAGCTTGCCAGAAGTTCTAGTGACAGATTTCATACACACACACACACACACACACACACACACACACACACACTACACAGATAATAACAACAACAACAACAACTGCTCTGGGACTTCAGAATTCAAACAGACAAGCACCTGCAACATAACACCCCGGACTTAACAATTGTCGATAAGAAAGACAAAAAAGTTTGGATAGTGGACGTGGCAGTGCCTGGAGACAGAAGAACAGAAGAGAAAGAACTGGAGAAGATAACAAAATACAAAGACCTACAAATAGAAATAGAAGGACTGTGGCAAAGGCAAGCAAGGGTAGTACCAATAGTAACAGGCGCCTTGGGTACAATCCCAAGACAACGGGAGCACCACTTGAACACCACCATTCGCATTGACAAATTTGCCATTAGTCAATTGCAAAAGGCGGCCTCACTAGGAACTGCTTCCACCCTGTGACGAGATATGTAATAACATCAAACATCCACATCTGCCTATCCCAGGTCTTTGAGAAGGACTTGATAAGTAGACAAAAAAGCCAAATCCAGTCTGAACATCTGGCTGACTGAGCGATGATTAATAATAATAATAATAATGAAGTTGGAAGGGACCTTGGAGGTCATTTAGTCCAACCCGCTGCTCAGGCAGGAGACCCTACACCGTTTCACACAAATGGCTGTCCAGTCTTCTTAAAAACTTCCAATGTTGGAGAATTCACCGCTTCTGGAGGCAGGCTGTTCCACTGGTTAATTGTTCTAATTGTCAGGAAGTTTTTCCTTAGTTCCAGGTTGCTTCTCTCTTTGATCAGTTTCCATCCGTTGCTTCTTGTCCTGCCTTCAGGCGCTTTGGAGAATAGCTTGGAACTCCCTCTACCATCTCTATCTGCCCAGTCTCTTCTTAAAAATTTCCAGTGTTGGAGCATTCACAACTTCTGGAGGCAGGTTGTTCTTTAAGTCTTAGTTAAGTCCAACCACCTAAGTCTTAGAGCAGGGGTCTTCAAACCTGGCCCTTTTATGATTTGCGGACTTCAACTCCCAGAATTCCTCAGCCAGGCATGCCTGGCTGAGGAATTCTGGGAGTTGAAGTCCACAAGTCATAAAAGGGCCAAGTTTGAAGACCCCTGTCTTAGAGCAAGGTGGGCACTCTTTCTTTTCACAGACCCCAGAAGTCTAAGGAGAGCGTGTTATTAAAGCTTTTTTAAAAAAAATCACCTAATCTTTTGTGTTCTCCAGTTTTAATTTAGAGTAATTGTGTATGCCAGCTACCAGAGCTTTGGGGAATAAAATCCATAAAAATAGATAGTTGGCGGTTGGTATTTTTAGCTCTTCATCATTAACTCACTACATTCTACATTCCATAAACTTGTCAGAATTTTCAAAACAGACCCCAAAGATGGTTCTTTTTTTTGCTTCATCGCCTACTCAAACACATAAGAAAAAAACAGATTTTTTTTTTTGAGAGGGTAATGCCTCCCCCACACTCTTTGGACAGAAATGTCATGATGGAGAGTAGGAAGTGAGCAGCTTTGATACAGGTTTAAGCATCTTTGGGAAAGGAAGGAAAACCATTCCTTGTTTCCTGCTGTAAAATGCAGTGGCAAGTAAGAAATTGTTATCAGCATCACTTCACACGATTCCAGGACAAACCCAAAGCAGACGTTCACACGTAGCAACTGTTGCAGCATCCCCATGATCACAGATTCAAAGACCTTTAGCAACTGACTTGTATTTATGACAGTTGCAGTAATCTCCTTTTGCCACCTTCTGACAAGCAAAGTCAAAAGGGGAAGCCAAATTCACTTAACAACCGTGTTACTGACTTAACATCTGCAGTGAATCACTTGCTGCCACTGTGACAAGAAAGGTCGCAAAATGGAGCAAAATTCACTTAGCAAATGTTTCACTTAACAATAGAAATTGTGGGCTCAGTTGTGGCCAGAAATCAAGGACTTTAAATGGGAAGTGACAGAATTCAAATTTATATCACGCTACACCACGACGTAACTCATGTGGCAAGGGCTCCATTTTGGCTGAACACCCTCATGGGATACATGAACTCATAAAATTGTAGTTTGTTCAAGAAGCCACAGCCTAACACAACGTCTGGAACTGTTCCTTTGTGAGTGCTGGGGAAAAGCTGATTTAAAAAATGTACCCAGATGTCTTTATGTGGCATTTCAGTGACATTTAAAAAGTACCACACACACATACGACTGAGACATTTCACCATACGCAACCTTTATTGGAGTTATCAGAGGGTCGTTTATTATACAGAAGTCACATCACACCATTCTCTTCCAATTTAATCCCCTTAAAAATCTAGAGCAAAAGTGCACTTTTAATCTATAACATATATTTCTTTTCAATATTCTCTCCCTCTTTCAAGTCGGGTATTATTCGTAAAAACATTGTCACCAAATATACAAAATACAAGCTTAGCATTCCCCTATGCTGGGCGGTGGCACTTGCCTTCCAATTTGGGGGGCGGGGGGGGGGGCTTTGCCTATGGACCTGTCAGCTCCACCCACCAAAGATGGGGCTTCAGGGTGAAGTGGATTAAGATCCTTCTGTGGTTTTGCTTGGAGAAGATTTCTACCCAAAAATTCATACCTAATGCATAAATAGCGCTTAACTGCCAACTAGTTGTCAACAGCTATTTGTGTTGAGAGATGACAACCTCTGAAGAAAAGAGGACTCTGGCATATTGGACTGAACGTATCCACACCAGTTGCCTGCCTGAAATAGTGAGATTCTTGAAATCTGAATGATTCAAAGACACACACGTGATGTTATGTGCCACTAATGCAGTGTTTCCCAAACTTGACAATTTTAAGGCATGTGGACTTCAACTCCCAGAATTCCACAGCCAGCATTGCTGGCTGTGGAATTCTGGGAGTTGAAGTCCACATGCCTTAAAATTGTCAAGTTTGGGAAACACTGCACTAATGGAATGTCACTGCTAACCCAAAGAAAGCAGCTACTGTAAGACAATGGCTGCAATCTTAGAAACTCTCTGGGGGTCCCAGGGTGCTTAGCTTGGTGTCCTCACTGGGGGTCTTCTGCTCTTGGGAAGAGAGTTCCAGCTTCTCCCAGGCTCCATGGAAACCTGTAGATAGAACCTCTGATGCTCTGAAGTGGGCTAAGGCAGATGTCGGCGAGTCTTCCGTCTTCTTCTTGGACGTTGTCTGTAAAGCTTGGCTGCTGCTGCAGAGATGGACACCCTTGCCCATCCTTGCAATGCAAGGGAAAGCGTTCCAGTGGAAAAGTTCAACCAACAGATAGGGACCCAAGGAAGCAAGGGAAACACAGCTTTTTGTTGCCGGCACAAGCCAGGCAAACCTTTTGGAAGTAGTGCTTTGCCTGACCTTCAAATCCCAGATGGGAGTTCAGCTTTTGCAATTTTCTGAGTCGACTCTCTTCTGGGGAGTTCCCGGCAGAACGTGATTGAGGAAAGCTTTGGGACAAGCAGAGATCCTTTCAAAGTTCTCCCAAACTGGAAGCCCATAGTTACCATCCGTGCGGACCAACAAAAAACTCTATGCATTCATCGAGGCGCATCAAGGGCTGCTGGGATCAGCTCCCGTTCATGGTGAGAGTGGCTTGGGCACCACGCCTCCTCAAGTGGAATTCTGGGAAGCCGTTGTCAAGAGAGAGAGGCACCAATGGTTCCCACAGCCCAAACTGTGTTTTAGGTCACAGCCCAATTTAAGGTTCTTACGAGCCGGAATAATTCTGGCAGAGTCTTCTCCATTGCACGTTGTTCCCCTCTTAAAAAGGCTTAGAGTTATAATACGTAGCATTGGAAAACAGACGCTAACTGTGGTTTAGTCTTCCTAACACTGCCTTATTTTTTTCTCTGTTGAAGCAGCAACAGCAGCAGCATAAATGTGGGCTGGAAAATGATGGGTGGGGAGCAGGGGGAGATGAAGTTAAGAGGAACTCTTTTCAAGGCATTGATGGATCTTAGTTTAAGTCCTTAACCCTCCCCTGAATTGTTTTTCCAAGGCCAGAATCATGATTATTATTTAAACCTTAAGAGTTTAGAGCTGTGATGTCCATTTACAGCATGTCAATCCACGCCGAGAATTGCTTCTTACATGCAAAACTGAACCCTTAACAGATCCTGTTTCAGCAGAGGGCACTTTTGGCTTAGAGAATAGTTCCAAGAAACTGTTTTTTAGTTTATATGCTAGACGTGACCTCCAACGCTTACACCTATTTCTTTTCTGACTTCTACAGTATTGTGGTTCTGAGTCAAAATCTCTTTTTACAAAGGATTAACAGATTTATAAAGCATATAAAAATTACTTTCCGAGGAAAATTTTAAGAAAGAGACAAAGCAGAACAAATGTAGAATAAATAGTGTTATCAGAAATAAAAGGGACATCTTTAACAAAATCTTCAATCCTGTAGAAATGCCTAATGTCCTTTTCCCATAGAAGAAAAAAGTAAAAATTAAACCACGAAGCTTCCGGGATGACTTAAGCTGGCCGCAGTCTTTGAATTACCAAAACTGCAACTTACATCAACTTTCCTCTGCTTGAGTCCCAAAAGAGGGGAGGAATTCAGCAAATACCGGAGGGGAAATCGTTCTGTTAGAATACAGAAAAATGGCAATAACGGAAACCAAAAAAGTCTCTTAAGCCAGGACCAAAGAGTGAACAGATTTTTACAATGTTACTTTAAAAATCACTTTCTTGGTTCTTGAAGAGTTAAGCAGCCAGGTTTCAAGTAGAGGTAAAAAAATTTGGAAATTAGCAAGTATAAAATAGCCTAGAAAGAAAATCAAAGTGAAATGCATTCTTGCTCAGGACTGTTCTCCTCGAGAAAACGCACTCCTTGATTTCTTGAAAATTGCCCAGAATAGCCAGGAGGAATCGGTTCTGCCATCACTCTGTTGTCCTTTCTGGGCACAGCCTTGATCCCTTCTGATCTGCACAAGATGTTCCAAAAATATGCCATGTCAGTCTCTTGATTGATAGAAAAGGATATATCCAGATTCCGAATTTTTGGAAATGTCTGAGGTCAATCCATAGAATTCTTCAATGGCTTGAGCGTCGATTTTCTACAATTTAAGACAACGGAGAGGTTAATGGAGGGAGAGAATCAGAATCACTGTCTATTTCCTCTGGTCTAGCATTTTTATGCCCTGATTTTAAGCAGATAAAGGAGATTTGTAGCTCAGGGTTGAAATGTGGGGTCCTTGGTGCTCTCTCAGCTTGGCTGTTTTCCTGCAGACATTTCATGACCCAACTAGGTAACATCATCAGTGCTAGAAGGGGGGAGGAGGAGGAAGGAAGGAAGGAAGGAAGGAAGGAAGGAAGGAAGGAAGGAAGGAAGGAAGGAAGGAAGGAAGGAAGGAAGGAAGGAAGGACTGTGGGGTCCTTGGTGCTTTTGACTGGTTTTTTTCTTGCAGACGTTTCATGACCCAACATCATCAGTGCTAGAAGGGGGGAGGAGGAGGAGAAAGGAAGGAAGGAAGGAAGGAAGGAAGGAACGAAGGAAGGAAGGAAGGAAGGAAGGAAGGAAGGAAGGAAGGAAGGAAGGAAGGACGGACGGACTGTGGGGTCCTTGGTGCTTTTTGACTGGTTTTTTTCTTGCAGACGTTTCATGACCCAACTAGGTAACATCATCAGAACTAGCACTGCAAGAAAACAACCAAAGTCAAAAAGCACCAAGGACCCCTCACGTAAGCATTTTTTCCCACTGTGGGGTCCTCCTGCCTATGGATTAGGGGGGACATGTTAGCATTGTTCCAATACTTGAGGGGCTGCCACAAAGGAGAGAGGGTCAACCAATTTTCCAAAGTATCAGGAGGCAAGACAAGAAACAATGGATGGAAATAATCAAGGCGAGAAGCAACCTAAAACTAAGGAGAAACTTCCTAACAACGAGAACAGTGGAACAGCTTTGCCTTCAGAAGGTGTGGGTGCTCCATTACTGGAGGTTTTTAAGAAAAGACTGGACAGCTATTTGTTTGGAATGGTATAGGGTTTCCTGCTTGAGTAGGGGGTTGGACTAGAAGACCTCCAAGGTCCCTTCCAACTCTGTTAGTCTGTTATACATTTCATTAAAATTCAGCCAACAATCAAGTCAGTGGCCACTGAGACAGTCAGCACAAGGTGAGGGACGGTGCACGACCGTTTCAGCACATGTGACCTCTTCTCAACCAGAAAGGCAGAGAGAGAGAGAGAGAGAGAGAGAGAGAGAGAGAGAGAGAGAGAGAGAGAGAGAGAGAGAGAGAGAGAGAGAGAGAGAGAGAGAGAGAGGGAGGATTCCTCATCTCTGGACAAACAAGTGGACATAATAGGAAAAAAGAAAAGGCTCCTGCTTTAAATATAATACATTTAAAATACATTAAATATGCAACAAATCAATGAATTAAAACAACCCACTTGCTCTTTGCTGCTATTAACGATTTCTCTGCACATTTAGCCACATGGCCTTGCAGTCCACGGGGCTGAATGCATTTATATGATTCCACCGAAAAAGAAGAGGTGGATGAGAAAGATTGCAGATATTTAATAGTACATGTACTCACGGCAGCAAGAATTGTATTTGCCCAATCTTGGAAAAATGAAAACTTACCAGCGGAAGAAGTACTAATTAAGAAAATTCTAGAGTGTGCAGAAATGGATAGATTGACTTTAAAGATAAAAGAGAAAGGAGACTCAGTGTACTTTAGAACATGGGATAATTTCTATCAGTGGCTAGAAAGACGAATTAGAGAGAAAGGAATGTGATGTGTAATTTTGAATATATATTAGCAAGAAGGCTATTGAGTGATTAATTAACATATTGTTTATGATAATTATTATCTATTATTGTTTGTTAAATACATGAACCCAGACATTATGCTGTTTGCTAAATATTGAGAATGTTATTTGAAAAAAACCCAACCCCAACCTTAATCATAACCCCATAAAAACTAATAAAATCTATACCAAAAAAAAGGGAAAAAAGAAAAAGGTGGAAATCCAGTTGTGGCCTGTACAGGTAGCCCTTGACTTATGACCACAACTGATCCCAAAATTTATGTTGCTAAGCGAGACATTTGTTAAGGGAGTTTTGCCTCATTTTATGACTTTTTTTGCCATAGTAGTTAAGCGAATCACCGCAGTTGTTAAGTTACTAGCAGGATGGTGAAGTGAATCCGGTTAAGTGAATTCCCCCCTTGACTTTGCGTCTCAGAAGGTCGCCAAAGGGGATCACTTGATCTCGGGACACTGCAAACCGTCATAAATATGAGTCGGTTTCCAAGCGTCTGGATTTTGATCACGTGACCCTGGGGATGCTGCAAGGGTCGTACGTGTGAAAAACGGTCATAAGTCACATTTTTCAGTGCCACCGTAACTTTGAACCGTCACTAAATGAGCTGTTGTAAGTCGAGCATTTATACATAAGACTACAGACTTACGCTTGTAGTTCACGCTCAACATTTTTCGCCAGTCTTTGGCTATTCAAACCATATTCTCCATAGGAGATTTTTGCAGATAGTCCTCAACTTACAACCATTTGCTTAACAAAGTTACAACATCACAAAAAAACAACTCCAAGTGACTTACAACTGGTCCTCATCCTTACAGTAGTTGCAGCGTCTCCAGAGTCCCGTGATCAAAATCTGGGCCCTTAGAAACCGATATGCATTTACATCTTGGGGTGTGAGTGTGTCACAGGATCGCCAATTGGGACCTTCCCAGACAGCCAAGTCCGACAAGCAAAGTCAACGGGGGAAGTTGGATTCACTTAATGACTGTGTGATTCAGTTAACAACTGCGTAGCAAAAAAAGTTGCAAAGTCAGGCCTGGCTCAATTAATAGCTTATCTCGCTTAGTACGGGAATTCTAGTTCCAGTTGTTGTTAAGTCAAAAATTGCCAGTATTTATAGCAGGGATATTCACAGAGTTTGGTTCAGAAAAATCTAGATGACAGCCGCCACGGTCCAATCAAAGCTATTGTCAGGTTTTTATGTACATTTCATATAACAATTTGAAAATCTGCAGGGGCCCCGGCTTAATGCTTCAAAACGCTGAAAACTGCTCTCAAAATTACTAGCTTTCATCCGAGAGAAACACTGAATCACTCACACTTTTTTCTCCAGACCTGAGAAGATAAGATAACCTTTATTGTCATTTTTACAGTGGGCACAATGGCACACATCAAAAATGAAATTTAATTGCCCGCTCTCAAGTGAAACACATACATGACATAACACCTAAACATACTATGTACAACATATGTATAGACCAGTGGTGGTGAACCTATGGCACGGGTGCCAGAGGCGGCACTCAGAGCCCTCTCTGTGGGCACGCGCGCCGTCGCCCCAGTCCTGGGCCTTCAGCTGGGTTTTATAAAACCTTTTCGCTTTAGGCCTCCGCTGCTATGTGCAAAAAAAAAAAAAAAAAGGTTCAATCAATCAGTCAATTTCAACTTCTTGTGGGAAAAAAAAGATCTTGCAAAGTTGGAATTGATTGATTGAACTTTTTAGTCCCACCCAGTCTGCTGTTACCACCGCAGCCACGCCCAGCCAATGGGCCACGCCCAGCCAATGGGCCACACCCTCCTGGCACTCAACGATGCATAAGTGGGTTTTGGGTTGCAGTTTGGGCATTTGGTCTCTAAAAGGTTCGCCATCACTGGTATAGACCCACACCCCTACATATACATAACAAATAAATATTAAATACTGTCCCTTGGCTCTCAGTCCTGAAAAGTAAGAGTGTTCCTTGTTTTCCTTTATTTATTTATTTATGAGACATATACCGGTTTAAGTACAAGCACTCTCTAAGCGGGTGTACACCAGTAAGCAATGTGTATGTGTGTGTGTGTGTGTGTATATGTATATGTATATGTGTGTATATATATATATATATATATAGATATATATATATATATATATATATATATATATATTATATATATATATATATATATATTATATATGTAGGTCTTTGGTTGTTCGGTTTTCCCCGCGTAAAATTGGAAGTGTCTTGGCGATGTTCGACGAAGTCCCATTCGTCATCTTCAGGCTGGTGTTTTCAGCTTCGTGCTTCGAGCAGCAATGTGCACCAGCCTGAAGATGACGAATGGGACTTCGTCGAAACGTCGCCAAGACACTTCCAATTTTACGCGGGAGAAACCCGAACAACCAAAGACCTACATACAAACACCGCGAAAACCTCAGAAAACTCAGTATATATAATATATATATATATATATATATATATAATATATATATATAATATATATATATATATATATATATATATATATATATGTATATATATATTTATTTACATTGCCCCCAACAATCTGGGTCCTCATTTTACCTACCCCGGAAGGATGGAAGGCTGAGTCAACCTTGAGCCGGTGAGATTTGAACCGCTGACTTGCTGAACACAGTCAGCTAAAGTGACCTCACTAATCATAGCAATTAAGAGAAATTAATCAGGCTGCAAAACAACTTAGGATGCTTATGTGCTTGCGACTTTCAAGGCGGGGGCCAATCTAATATAGCTGCTTCCAACAGAGAAGCATTTAAAATTTATGGAGTCTGGAAAAGCTGTAAGGACCCACCAGGTGGGCAGAGCACCGAGCAAGAGGGTGATTTAGCTAACGCATTTTATTTCGCTACCCATGTCCACAAGCAAGAATGCTGCAAACCGAAAAGCGTATCGTAAAAAAAGTAAGTCTTTACAACGATGATTAAGGGCCCTGCGACAAAAACATGAAGAACAGTTGCAAGAACTGGGTATGGCCAGTCTGGAGAAAAGAAGAACTAGGGGATGACATGATAACAGTCTTCTAGTATTTGAGGGGCTGCCACAAAGAAGAGGGGAGGGTCAACTTATTTTCCAAAGCACCAGAAGGCAGAAAAAGAAGCAACAAATGGAAACTAATCAAGGAGAGAAGCAATCTAGAACCAAGAAGAAATTTCCTAACAGTGAGGACAATTAACCAGTGGAACAGCTTGCCTCCAGAAATCGTGGGCGCTCCATCACTGGAGATTTTTAAAAAAAGACTGGACATTCACCTGTCTGAGGCAGTAAAGGTTCTCCTGGTTGAGCAGGGGGCTGGACTAGAAGACGTCCAAGGTCCCTTCCAGCTCTATTCTATTCTATTTTACAGCTCCTCATCCAACCTCAGTAGGGAGAACAGACTTCGCGAGTCTTCTGCTGTACTGGATTGTTGTTGCACTGTGCCTTGCTGATGTCATTTGAAGGCTTGTTAGTATTGATTTATTGGGGCTGGGGTTGGAACTGTGGTTGCGTGATTGATGATGAAGAGTTCGTATTTATATTTAGACACAAAAGCACAAAGTGAAAATAGCTTTGACCCAAAGTTATTATAAAAAGCCCTGGAGCGAGACCCAAACCTACCTCTACGATGTCATCATCAAAGAGCAACCAAAATCCATGGCTCTTCACGATGGTGATGTAATGCCCACGATTTGGACCACTGCAACAAGGAGAGAGGGAAGGTTAATGCCGGATGTGGACACGTGGACTCCAGCTATGGTTTTCCTAGGACAGGGGTAGGCAACCTCGGCTCTTTTACGGCTCGTGGACTTCAACTCCCAGAATTCCTGAGCCAGCCATGCTGAGGGGAAAGGGAGTGGTTTCCAAGCTGAGCCATGCTGGCTCAGGAATTCTGGGAATTGAAGTCCATGAATCATAAAAGAGCCAAGATGGCCTACCCCTGTGCTAGGCTGTCGTGTGCAAATCCAAGCTTTCATGACTGATAGAACAGCACCAATCACGGTTCGGTGAGCAAACTGTGATTATACAAATCATGCGCTGTGTGATGTGGGAGTTCAATCTATGGCTGAGAAAGAAAGAATGACTGTATACTACATACCTCTTCTGCAAAAACTAATTAGGAAGGCTTACAACTCAGGCACTGATCACAAAGCCAAAATTAATGGATTCAATAAACTTAGGTACCCAGTGGTGCTACTATAGAAAACCCTTAAATCATTTGGCCAACCTGCTTTAAGAGCTTCTTTGTTCCAAGAATAGCTGCTTTCAATTTTCCTTTGCAATAGATGATGTATCTTGCATCTGGGTCCCATAAATAAAGCAACATTTTCCATCAATCTATTTAACTGATATACACATTTAAAAACGCCCATGTACCAGTTATACTTCTAAGGAGAAAAAAAATGCAAAAGGTTCCTGTGTGCATACAACAGATAAGCGACCTTCGGCCTCCTCAACACACTCCTATCATCCTTCTCTACTAAAGCTATCTCAGGGATGCAGAATAACAGAGTCGGAAGGGACCTTAAAGGTTTGCTAGTCCACGGCTTTTCATCCAGTGGTACGGGTACCATCTGTGGTACCTTGGCACCTGGCAGGTGGTACGTGACCATCCTAGAAAAGCAATGGGGAGGGGAATGAGCTGAACCACTGGCAGCACCGCACAAGCCTGAGCGAAAGACGGCTGGAGCTGCAGGGCTGTCAGGGCTCAGTGGAAGCACCAGGATCAGCGCCAGGCTCCAGCTGGAGCTCGGCGCTGATCCTGGTGCTTCTGCTGAGCCCAGAAGAAGCGCCGATCAGCTGGAAAGCAGCACTGATCCTGGCACTTCTGCTGAGCCCAGAAGAAGCGCTGATGTTGCAGCATCTCCAGGGTCTTTTGATTTACATTCAGATGCTTGGCAACTGATTCATATTTATGACGGTCAGTGTCCCAAGGTCCAAAACGAAGCGACCAAAACCTGCTGCAACCACCAGCAGGTGGGGGGGAATAAAAAACCAAACACCTCCTCACCCCACCCCCGCTGCCAATCCTCAACAGAAATGCTCATAACAATGAAAACCTCGGACAGGAGGAAGAGCACCGCCTGGCAGGTGGGCAGGTGTCTTGCTCAGCTGTGGCTTGGGGGGCACTTTTGTCAGTGCCATTGTAATTTCGAACAGTCACTAAGCAAACTGTTATAAGTCGAGGACTACTTGTACTTTATCACTTTTTTCTTTTCCTTTTTTTTTCTTTTTGGTCATCAAGTTTTTGACCCCTTGCTAGGCGACTGGTGGTACTCAGATGTTGCCATATCCTAAAAGTGGTACAATGGGTGAAAAGGTTGAAAAGCCCTGTTCTAGTCTAACCCCCTGCTCAAGCAGGAAACCCTTTACCATTTCAGACAAGCTGGTAGAGCAAGGTATACAGGTATTCCTTGACTTACAACAGTTCATTTACTGATCATTCAAGGTTACAACCACACTGAAAAAGTGATTTCTGACCACTTTTCACACTTACGACTGTTACAGCATCCCCATAGTCAGCTGATCAAAATCCAGACGCTTGGCGACCGGCCTGTATTTATGACGGTTGCCGTGTCCTGGGATCATTTTTTGCGACCTTCTGACAAGCAAGGTCAATGGGGAAGCCAGATTCACTTAACAACCGTGTTATTAACTAAACAACTGTGGTGATTCACTTAATAATTGTGGCAAGAAAAGTCACAAAATGGGGCAAAACTCAATTAACAACTATCTTGTTTAACAACAGAAATGTTGGACTCAGTTGTGGTCATGAGTCAAGGATTACCTGTACCAGAGGTAGGCAATCGTGGCTCTTTTATGACGTGGACTTCAACTCCCAGAATTCCTGAGCCAGCATGGGGGAACAATGGTCCCCTTCATGACTCGTGGACTTCAACTCCCAGAATTCCTGAGCCAGCATGGCTCAGCTTGGAAACCTCTCCCTTTCCCCTCAGCATGGCTGGCTCAGGAATTCTGGGAGTTGAAGTGCACGAGTCATAAAAGAGTCAAGGTGGCCTACCCCTGGCCTATACAAAGGCCAGACAATAAATGAAATGGAGGAAAAAAAGTGGTGCAGAACGGCAGAGGACTTTCCCTTTTCGGTTTGCAATGGGGGGTTACGGTAAAAGATCCTGTAAGAGGCAGTGAGATTCAGGGATGGAAGCGATCTGTGAACAACGAGCAATAGCTGATTGAGAACAATTTTAGCTTAGGTGGTTCTCAGGCAGAAGGGGGAACTTAATGAGGGGTGGGGGAAGAGATGAGAGACAAACCATAGATAGCCCTGTCTGGAATTGCATGCAGTTACCTTTGTATCTTGATAGCTGATCTATCCCTTCCCAAAATTGGAATGCTAGCCCCAAACTAGCATTGGTTCAAGCTGGGGGGGGGGGGTGTGTTCTCCCTGAAGTTCACTGCAACTCAAGAAACACCAGGGGCCTGTAACTTACCTATGATTTGGTGCTCTCTGAGCTTGGTAGTTTTTTTGCTGGTGTTTCAACTGCCAACTAGGCTAACATTATCAGTGTTAATCCTAGCATTGACCAGGTTATCTCGTTGGATAATGAAACCAAGCTCAGACAGCATCAAGGACCCAGAGGTCTCCTCCTCTTTGTCGTCGTCCTCCTCCTCCTCCTCCTCCTCCTCCTCCTCTACTCTACAAACCCCAATCCCTCTAGCACTGATGATATTGTCTAGTTTGGGTAATGAAATGCCTGCAAGTAACCAACGAAACTCAGAGAGCATCAAGGACCCTACAGGTTTCCTGCTCCACTCTGCAAACCCCACTCCCTTCTAGCACTGATGATGTTACCTAGTTTGGTCAATGAAATGTCTGCAAGAAAACAAGCAAGCTCAGAGCGCGCCAAGGACCCCACAGTTCTTCTCCTTCCCCTCTGCTCTGCAAAGCCCACTCTTTTCTAGCACTGAAGATGTTACCTAGCTGGGCCATGAAACCTCTGCAAGAAAGCTGCCAAGCTCAGAGAGGATCCCCCAGCTCTGAGTAACCAATTTTCTCTCCGATAATTATCCCCTAGGATTTTGGGGGAGGCATTTTACCTGCCGGTGCTGGAGAAGACTCCTGCGAGTCCCCTGGACTGCAAGGCGTTCAAACTGGTCAGTCCTGGAGGAGATCAACCCCAACTGCTCTTTAGAAGGCCAGATCCTGAAGTGGAAACTCAAATACTTTGGCCCCCTAATGAGAAGGAAGGACTCACTGGAGAAGAGCCTGATGCTGGGAAAGATGGAGGGCAAGAGAAGAAGGGGACGACAGAGAAGGAGGTGGCTGGATGGAGTCACTGAAGCAGGAGGTGTGAACTTAAATGGACTCCAGAAGATGGTAGAGGAAAGGAAGGCCTGGAGGAACGTTGTCCATGGGGTCGCGATGGGTCGGACACGACTTTGCAACTAACAACAACAACAACAACAATTTTACCTGCCGCAATGTACCACCACAGCCACGAGATCATACATTCGATCTGGGTTTGTAGCATCCCCTGAGGTGTTGAAGAGTCGAAGCTCCAGGGGAAAGACCACGCGGTAGGAAAGTTTGGTGTACCGGTGCAACTGGTCCATGTATTTAAACCTTTTCAAGTGCAGAGCGAGAATCATGGGCAGCTTTTTCACTCGCATCCTTTGATGAGCAAGGTTAAGATCGAAGGAGAAAGAAAACAAAAACAAAAGCAGGCCTTACAAAATCAGGCTCAATACAACTTATTAAGATAAAAAAACAAAACAAAACTTTGGTGAAGAAAACAGTGCTTGATATTTTGTTTGCCAATCTCCCCCCCCCAAAAAAACCAGGAAAGATTTGCAGCTTCTGGCAGTGGGTTGATTTGAGCACTAAGCAACAATTGAATGCAAGGCAGCTATTTATTTGGGCCCAAACCACAGCCTATAAATTGGTTAATATTGACAAAGAAACTAGAAAAAATGCCTTTATTTATTAACTAAATTTTTAAAATCCAGACTTTATTATTTTTATAAGTAATTCGGGGTGTCAAACATTCCTAATGCTCCTTCCTCCTATTTTCCCCCACAACAATAACCTTGTGGGGTGGGGTGAGCTAAGAGAGAGGTACTGGCTAAAATCACTCAGCCGGCTTTTATGCTTAAGGCAGGATTAGAAAGATTGGCCTGGAGTCACCCAGCCAACTGTCATGTCTTAAGGCAGAATTAGAACTCAGAGTCTCCTGATTTCTAGTCTGGGGCCTAACTACTAAACTAGGAACCTCTGCCCTCCCCCGCCCATACACATACACATGCACGCCCATACTACATCAAGAAAACTCAAAGTTTGAAGCCCACAAGTGTCAAATTCTACAAGAAATACCATCTGGTCCTGTACAGAATTCATTACACTATTATTCAGCTTGTCTCTTTATTTGGTGTGATGAATTTCACCGTTTTGACACTTGAAATTCACAAGTTTATTGCTCCAAGAACCACCGGATGTCAGTGCTCTGAAAAGCTCCAGGGCCTTCTGTAATGACTGAATTACTGGTCTGCAGAGTTAATCGTGCAAAATAAAAAAAAAATGAACAGAATTATGAGGATCAGGAGCAGAGAAAGAGTTATTCAGCCCCCTTTTCCTTCTCATTTGGCCATTCCTCACATCTCTGAGATTAGGCCAGAGGCTTTTGAATGCACCTCAATAAGCTGTAATGAATATCTCATTCGTTTCTCTCTATATTTTTTATTACAAAAAGATACAACAAGATGGTAAAAACCAACACAAACTAATACAGTGAGGAAGAAGTCACCTATGTGTGAATTGGGTGGCTATGTGAATTTATTTTAAAAAGAAAAGAAGAAAAAAAACCCCATAAACTGCAAGGTAAGAAAAACATCGAGGAAAACTAAAACTAAAATAGAAAGGAAAAAAGATACAGGTAATCCTCGAATTACAATCACAATTGAGCCCAAAGTTTCTGTTGCTAAGTGAGACATTTGTTAAGTGAGCTTTGCCCCATTTTATGAAATTTTTTGCAACAGTTGTAAAATGAATCACTGCAGCTGTTAAGTTAGTAACCCGGTTGTTAACTGAATCTGTCTTCCCCCATTGACTTTGCTGGTCAAAAGGTCACAAAAGGGGATCACGTGACCCCGGGATGCGGCGACCGTCATAAATATGAGCCAGTTGTGCCAGCATCTGAATTTTGATCACATGACCCTGAGGATGCTGCAGTGGTCCTAAGTGTGAAAAATGGTCATAAGTCCCTTTTTTCAGTGCCGTTGTAACTTTGAACGGTCACTAAATGAACTGTTGTAAGTTGAGGACCACCTGTATACCGAAGTGGCTTCTGAAGGTCTTCACAACAGTTATAAATACAATGTATTTCAACCTCTCTCTCTAACGTTCCATCATTTTTCTCCTCTTTCTATAATCTATCTTGGCTAATCATCAAAAATTCCTTAGAAATGTCTCATTCGTCAACAGCAGGAAGATCCTTTTCAACTACAAAGTGAAGAGTTGATTAAGAGCCCATCACTTCTTTCTCAGCAAAGTCCACCTGCCGGGTCCGTTAAGGCGATCAAGAACCGAAGTCCTTGGTGGGGCCCAGGTACGTAATAAAAATTCATCTTAGCCCTACCTCTTTTGTGCTTCCTGTTTACTCCGGCACTGCTCGCAGTAGTACTTGTACTCGCTGCACAGCGTCTCGGTGTTACTGAACCCTCTGCAAAATGGAAGATTGGAGCAGAAGTTATAATTATCAGGTTTTCCAGCACTGAACAGTTTTTCTCAGGGACATCTGTACAGGGACCCCCCCCCCAGAGGTCAAAGATGTCTCTGTCTGCAGTGGGAAAATGCAAATGTCACCCAGCACCACAAAACAGGCAATTTAATGGTTGACACTAATCTCTCTTCTGTTTTTTCCCTGTCTCCTTTAGGCCCCATCCCTAAATGATTCAGAGAAGAAACAGTAAGAAAAGGCCACTTCTGATGACTTTAATTGATTGGGGCCCTTTTGTGGCTAACATAACATTCCAATCAAGTAATTGCTGCTGCTAATTGATTGTGTGTGGGTTTGTGCCTGTGAGATCGCTTGATAGCATCATTATCACATCAAACAACTGGATCGACAACGGCAGAGTAAGTCAGGGATTTGCAGCTGCATGATGGCCAAAGCAAGCAGACAACTCTCCCTGAAGCCCTCTTTCAGCCTAGAAGTCTTATAAAAGGCAGAATACACACAGTTAAATAAAAATAAATCACACTCTAGGAAGCTATTTAATGTGTTAGTGTTGGCTTCGGGCTTCAATGTCCTGGGATTAAATAAAATATCCTTCTGTTTTATCTGGCTGCGTTTTCTGTTTTTGTTGAAACGTGTACCTCAAGCAGTGTGTGATTGATGTATTTTGTTCCACGTCAACCGACAGGTCCAGAAAATCTTCGTCTTTGCTGCTCACCTTGAAGAGGAAAAAAAAAAAAAATGCAGATTTTAAAATGTTTAAGAAGTAGAATGAAGAATGTACAACTGTACAGCATCGAATTCCTAGCAGGGTTCTCCGTCAAACCTTTCATCCCAGTGAAGGATCCCGAGCCAGTCACAATCCCTACATTTACTTGTAGGAAAGTGGGTTTTAGGCTTGTCCTCGGCTTATGACCATAATTTCTGTTGCTAAGTTATTATGTGACTCTTGCCCCATTTTACAGCCTTTCTTGCCAAAGTTTATTTATTTATTTATGAGACTTATATACCGCTTTTAAGTGCAAGCACTCTCTAAGCGGTGTACACCAGTAAGCAATGTATATATATATATATATATTTTACATTGCCCCCAACAATCTGGGTCCTCATTTTACCTACCCCGGAAGGATGGAAGTCAACCTTGAGCCGATGAGATTGGAACCGCTGACCTGCTGAACACAGTCAGCTAAAGTGGCCTGCGGTACTGCACTCTGCAGTTGTTAAGTTAGTGACACGGTTGTTAAGTGACTCCCCATTGACTTGGCTTGTCAGGTCGCAAAACGGATCACATGACCCCGGGAGACAGTAACCGTCATAAATAGGAACCAGTTGCCAAGCATCTGAATTTTGATCATGTGAACATGAGGATGCTGCAACTGTCGTGTGAAAAACGGCCATAAGTCACTTTTTCAACTGTAGTTTTGTGAGGTCACCAAACAAGCTGCTGTAAACTGGGAACTATCTGTACAGTTCCAAAAAAATCGGTGACAACTATTATTAAATGGAGGCAAAGGTCATAGGTCACCAGACCTAAGTGTTTCTTAATCTCAGCAACATTAAAATGTGTGGACTTCAACTCCCAGAATTCCTCCATCAGCCATGTGTGGACTTCAACTCCCAGAATTCCCCAGCATACTATTCTGAAAGCTAAAGGCCATGCACCTTAACGTTGTTGAAATTGAGAAACAGGGCCCCACCCCATCCACCCCAGCATTTTGGCTGTGTAGATATGTTCTAAAAAGAAACATAAAAGTTATGAATTGAGAAACTGAATCCCATAATGAGTGTATTTTGAATGTGACACTCACTCACTCCCAAGAAGACAATCATGATAAATATTATGTTCTCTGGCTAGCTGAGGGCAGAATTAGCACATAGCCCTCAACTAGCTAGCTTCCACGTTGGGGGGTTCTGGAGATCATAGCTGTGCTACACCTGAAGCCAAATGCCCGGTTTAGCAGGACACGTGAATGGACTCCGTATAGAGATGTGCAATCCTTCAAACCCAAAGATGAAAAAGCACCTCAGGGAGGGATTGGCACAATGTGAGCAAGAAAGACGGTTTCCTTCGGGAGAGGCAAACCAGTCTTGTGTCGACTCCAAAGCTTCAGACTTAGGTCCAAAGTACTGATGTGCTCAAATCAAGACCTTCAGACTGAAGAATGTAACAGGGCAACTACTTCGAGGAGACAAGAGCTACCCTAATCAAGGAACAACCCAAGAGAAAACCACCTGCCATCATTGGCAGGGCAAGCTACGGCATATAAAGCGGGAGAAAACCCAAACTCTCTCGCACTGATGATGCTACCTACTTGGGCAATGAAACATCAGCAAGCGAGCAACCAAGCTCAGAGAGCTTCAAAGATGCCAGAACAAGAATTGAGATAAGAATAGGATAGAGCAGTGGCGAACCTATGGCACGGGTGCCAGAGGCGGCACTCAGAGCCCTCTCTGTGGGCATGCACGCCGTCGCCCCAGTCCTAGGCCTTCAGCTGGGTTTTATAAAACCTTTTCGCTTTAGGCCTCCGCCGCCGTGTGCAAAAAAATAGAGGTTCAATCAATCAGTCAATTTCAACTTCTCGCGGGGAAAAAAAGATCTTGCAAAGTTGGAATTGATTGATTGAACTTTTTAGTCCCACCCAGTCTGCCATTACCACAGCCACGCCCACCCAATGGGCCACGCCCACTCAATGGGCCACACCCACCCAGCACTCAAATGGGTTTTGGGTTGCAGTTTGGGCACTCGGTCACTAAAAAGGTTCGCCATCACTGGGATAGAGTTATGAACTTCATGCCCTACACAAGCTTCTTGAAAGCAGACCAAACCAGTTATGGCAGGAAACATTGTGGGTGTTGAAGTCCACATATCTTTGTTGCCAAAACTGAGAAATATTCTTCTAGCTCAGGGGGTCTCCAAATTTGCCATCTTTTAAGACCTACTGACTTTCAACTCCCAACATTCTGAGAGTAGAAGTCCACAAGTCTTAAAGGTGCCACGTTTGGTGACCCCTGTTCTAGCTAAATGCAAGTTTAGCAACTTGAAAGAGGTAAGCATTCATCTGTTTATATACTGACAGCAGGAAGATGGAAGGGAAAAAAAACACAGTCAACCCTCTTGGGAAAGAACCACACTAAGTAGGAATTTCAGAGAAAGTAAAGAGCTACCTACAGCTTCACAGTTTAAACAGCGAGTTTCGTTTGTCAGTGCTCCCTGGAAGATTTCATGGACCCACGTGAGTTCGGCCTTCTCCCCTTCATCACTCTCAATGCTTCCGTTCTGGAGTTTGCCATTCTGTTTCTCCTGCTTTTTTTCTTCTTGTAGCAAGTCCGCAATTGTGTTCAATAGATAGTTCAGGAATTCGTGTGCATCCTGCTGCATGTAGTTGTCAAACAGCTCTGATAACAAGGTGCACAACAAAGAAGAAGAAGAGCAGAGGAATTAAGACCTAATATGGCTAAAGTCATTACAGAATTTTGGACACCAGGAAGGGTAGAAAGCAAGTATATGCTTTTATTAAAAATTAAGCAAAAGCACTTAGTAAAAATAGGTTTTTAAAAAGGAAGTGTGAACGTATTCGCAGCATGAACACAGTGCCACTGTGAGTCAAATGATCACATCATTCTGGGACAGTGCAATTGTCATAGTACATGCTAGTTGCCAATCACACTAATTCTGATCACATGATCATGGGGATACTACAACGGTCATCCATTTTTTTCAGTGCCGTTGTAACTTTGAACGGTCATTAAATGAATAGTTGTTAAATTGAGAACTACCTGCAGTTAGGGGCAAAGGACAACAAATGATGGGGAGTTACAAAATGATTACCATATGAGTCTGGTTTACTTACTAATTAGTTCTCAAGGTTAGCATAGTCAGTTAAAAGACATTCTTTAATCAGACGCTGAACTACCATCTCTGTGGGTGGGGGGGGGTTGCTATGGGTCAATATGGTGGTTCTCTATTTGCAAGGAGCTCGATTCTTAAATTAGCAGGATTTTTTAAAAGGTTAAGCTGGACAGGGAGCTTAATGGAAATATGTGTCCAGTACTGGTAGTCCTCCATTTACAACCACAATTGAGTCCAAAATTTCTGTTACTGAGCGAGACAGCTGTTAAGCGGTTTTGCCCCATTTTATGACCTTTCTTGCCAGAGTTGTTAAGTGAATCATTGTTCAGTTAGTAACCCGGTTGTAAAGTGAACTTGGCTTCCCCATTGACTTCGCTTGTCAGATGGCCACAAAAGGGGATCACGTTACCCCGCGACACCGTGATCGTCACAAATATCAGTCGCCTGAAGGGTCTGAAGTTTGATTGTGTGACTGTGAGGGTGGCTGCAGCCGTCGCAAGTATGAAAAACAGTGGTAAGTCACTTTTTTCAGTGCCGTTGTAACTTCGAGCGGTCACCAAATCAACGTCGAGGTCTACCTGTCTGAGGGAGCTTCCTCTGCTCCCACAAACCCACCCTTCTGAGTGGGCCAAGGGCCTCCAACCACAGCTGTTCGCAATCCACACCAACCGGCCTCTGACGAAATCTTAAGCATCCTGTCCTAAGACAGCCAAGAAGCTTCCTTACCGTTTTCTTTCCTCAGCCGGGAAATGAACCTCTTGGGGGGGATGACCCCCACTTTCTTCTTCTGGGTGGCAATGCTGTTGAAGAGGTCCGACAAACAGGTCAGAAGGGTCTCCTTTTTGCGGGCCTGGACTTTGTAGGCCAACACCTTTTCCCGAAATGGGCGGCAGAAGTAAAGGGCCTGGAGGACCGAGTTACAGTAGCAGGTATTTCCAAACTGAGGGAACAGGAAAAAAAAAAGAGTAAGTAAGGGTGTGTCTGTGGAGGTTCTCAGTCATCCAGTCACGGCTGTCCCAAAGCTGCTTTTTCAGGAGGCAACTGGACTTTGTTTTTCCTTGAAGACGTTTCGCTTCTCATCCCAGAAGCTTCTTCAGCCCTGACTGGATGGTGGAGAATGGAAGGATTTATACTCCTTGCACGAAGCTGGTCATTTGCATTCTTTTAGAGAGGCATTGAGGCCACTTGGAGGTTTATCTCTGACCTCAAGGTCATCTGAGAGGTGCAACACAGTCCTTTCAGAAATTCCAAGAAAGCTCAACACCCATTTGTACCACTCAGGTCACCTGTGTCCTTGAGGACACAGAAAAACCTCCAAGTGGCCTCATGGATTCTCTAAAAGAAGGCAAATGACCAGCTCTCTGCAAGGAGTATAAACCCTTCTGTTCTCCACCATCCAGCCAAAGCTGAAGAAGCTTCTTGGATGAGAAGCGAAATGTCTTCAAAGAAAAACAAGAAAGTCCAATTGCCTTTTGAAAAAGCACCTTTGGGATACGTGTATGTGTGTGTGTCTTGAAAAAATGGCTATTCAACTGCAAGTAAAAGAGAACTAAGAAAACCAAGAATATAGGGCAGGAGGGTCCAATCTTGGCAACTTTAAGACTGGTGGACAACTTGTAGACGACTTTAAGATTTGTGGACTTCAACTTCCAGAATTTCCCAGCCAGAGTTCTAGTGGAGCAGAGGTCACCAACTTTTCTCAGTTGGCGGACCAGAGGGAAAGGGAGGGGGAAGCATTTTACACACACGCGCGCATGCATGGGGTTAACTGCCCTAACTCTAACCACGCATGTGACACAAACGGGGCGGGGCTAGTGGTTGCATGATACTCGCTAGCCCTGCCCCATTCTTGTGCGGCACAGCACCGTCCGTTTTCACGGCCCGTGGTGTGGTGGCAGTGGCCCATTTTCACGCCCTGTGGTGTGGTGATGGCCCGTTTTCATGCCCCAAGGCATGGCGGCGGCCCCCCTTCACACCCCATGGCACAGTGGTGGCCCCCTTTCTCGCCCTGAGGCACAGTGGCGGCCCATTTTTGTGCCCCACAGCTGTGGCGCTACTGCAAGTAGGGGTGTGTGCGCGCACTGGCCAGCCTATCCCGCGGCCGGGTGGCCAGTAGGCCACCACCCGCTACCAGGTTGCGGCCCACAGGTTGGGGACCCCTGTGGTAGAGAATTTCCCGCTCAAGCAGGGAATTGCAACAGAAGATCTCCAAGATCCTTCTATCTTCTAAGTTAGCTAGCAAGGAAGAGGGTGGGAGGAAGCTGGCAAAATAGCCTAAAAATTGAAGGTGTTGCATACAATATTCTCACAAAAAAGGCATTTGAGGGAAGGACAATCTTTCTGAGGGTTCAGGGCTGCAGGGAGCGTGAGAGATTTTTGTCCAGGAATGCGATGTTTAATCCGAAACTGCCGCACTTGCGCCGAATGTATTCCCTCTGCAATCTCCACCTTGACTCTGTCTTGAAGTTGCAAGCCCTGTAGGCCAGATCAGGGGGGCTTTGCCAGTACTTCCTCAACCGTGAACCGTCCGTTGCCACAATATGCCTGAAGTATTTCCTTCACTGACTCTCAGTGAAGGAAGCAGACCCCGACTTTTAAAAAGCCTTGCAATGCCATCTGGCCTATCCTCCCACACTTGTTTCACAAGCCAGCAATGCTGGTTAATTGGGGAGGGGAACCACGTCCTGTTGGAGGTCACTCCAGAGGAATCTGTTGCTATGTTGCTAAGACTGTCAACATTGGGTGGTGCTCAGGGCAAGGGTGCTGTTTCTGACAGAGCGATTTACGTGGGGAGCCCAGCAGCAGACAGAACTCTGACGGGATGCCAAGGAGAGTTAAATGAGCTTCTTTTCAGAGTCAGCTCAGATCAAGAATATTTAGAGAAGTGACCAGCACTCTGAGGAGAAAAGTGCCCTGGGGATGGGTTAGACAGTGTCTACATCTTCCTGTTTACACAGCTGAAAGCAGATGTTTGCATCTGTCGCATTTGAAGGTTGCTTCATTTCAGAGAAAGAAAAAAGAGTCTGATGGGATGATCACTTCTGGGAGAAATCATTTGACATTCGGAATATATCCTCACCATCGTCATCATCAGCACCACCACATTTCCAACAGCTCCCTTCATCCTTGCCAGGACAGTGGTAACTGTTAGTATAAACAAAATTAATTTCTGTACATTCCAAATGACGTTTGGGGAGCTGTATGGAAACTGTATTCTTCAACCCTGGGCGGTGGAACGCTTTGATAGGGTCCTCGGATTCAATTAATCTTCAATCAAATCGCTCCCGAAGCAGATTCTTTTGTCCCAAGGCAGCAAGCTGAATCAAAATGAAATGTTTATATTGTAGCTTTAGCGGGGTCGTTACCGGCCCTTCTGCAATTTCACTTCCATTTAGGGAGAAGATCGCTCCCATTGAGAAGGGCCACGGAGTTTGACATGACCAATGGGCTTCAGCACCCCATGACCTCTGGGCCTATTACAGTTCCCTCCGTGCTGTTTCTTAGCCTCCCTCCTGGCTCTGTCCAATGGAATTCTACTCTTTTGGAATGCCCCCATCAACACATCTGGAAGTTCCATTCAGTTTTCAAATATGAACTCATGCTTGACCCGGGTCAAGCCTTACATTTACGTCCACAGAACCAGGGGCAGATTTAAGCTCTGACAATGAGCAAATACTTGCAAGCTCTGGCCCAAATGTTTGTGATTCTTTAAAAAAAAGGGGGGGGGATTGCAGGGCAGGAAGGTAACTATTTCTGAGCCAGTCCCCTTCTCTGTGGCCCACCTGTCTCAGGAGTTTTGTATCTCATTCGGACAACATGCTTCTGCTGCTTCTTCCTTACAAACTGACCCAATTCAGAAACATCCTCAAGCAAACAAATGGCAAATGTTTGAACTCTTGCTTTACTTAACTTTGTAAAGGTCGACTTCTTAAGCGGAGTTTCTGGGGCTCAGGATACAAACTGGCTCCAGGAAAACACAAGGGGTGTTCAGAGGTGTTCACTTCCAAATCCAGGGATGACAAAAGAAGACACAATTTAACAGGCAACTCCCCGAGAAGAACGAAAGAGCCACTCACATTAACCAAGCCGAAGTAATGTTCATTCATAGGAAACTGATCCGGACCAATCTCTTTCTCCAGAGCAGAGGCATTGGCGCCCTGGAAGACAAAACAGCGGGTACAGTTAGTCCTCAACTTTCAACAGTTCATTTAGTGGCCGTTCAAAGTTACAACGCCACTGAAAAGAGTGACTTATGGCTGTTTTTTACACCAGCATCCCCATGGCCACAGGATCAAAACTCAGATGCTTGGCAAACTGACTCATACTTAGGACGGTCGCAGTGTCCCAGGATCACACGATCCCCTTTTGAGACCTTCTGACCAGCAAAGTCAATGGGGAAGCCAGATTCACTTAACAAGTGCAGAGTGCAGTACCGCAGGCCACTTTAGCTGACTGTGTTCAGCAGGTCAGCGGTTCAAATCTCACCGGCTCAAGGTTGACTCAGCCTTCCATCCTTCCGGGGTAGGTAAAATGAGGACCCAGATTGTTGGGGGCAATGTAAATATATATATATACATTGCTTACTGGTGTACCCCGCTTAGAGAGTGCTTGCACTTAAAAGCGGTATATAAGTCTCATAAATAAATAAATAAAACCGGGTTATTACTTAACAACTGCAGTGATTCACTTAACAAACATGGAAAGAAAAGTTGTCAAACGGGGCAAAACTCACTTAACAAGTGTCTCACTTAGCAACAGAAATTTTGGGGGTCCATTGGGATTGTAAGTCATAAGCCGAGGACTACAGATCCATCTCTGAGCAAGAAGAATTCCCTTTTGCCACAGGTAAACTCCACATTACAGAAATCACCTGCTCCAACAACAGCAGCTTTCAACCCCTCCCTCCCTCCCTCCCACCTCAACACAGGGCACTGCTCAAATTTGCCCTGGTGGGTCTCCAAAGCTCCCTTGTGAATTTGGGGGAAAGAAAACACTACAGCAGGGGTCCTCAACCTTGGCAACTTTAAGACTTGTCGACTTCAATGCCCAGAATTCCTCAGCCAACAAAGCTGCCTAAGGAATTGAAGTCCACAAGTATTAAAGTTGCCAAGGTTGAGGACTCCTGCACTACAACCTGTGAAGGGAGAATTCCATCTGCATATAAGATACTAGACAGGACTCTAATAATCTGCTATTCTACAGCACTTCAGTTTTCCATTTAATAAACGGCCCATTTGCAACTTATCAAAATGTTGAGAGACTCCCGCTACTCCCTAGGCCAGGGGTAGGCAACCTTGGCTCTTTATGACTCGTGGACTTCAACTCCCAGAATCCCTGAGCCAGCCATGCTTGAGGGGAAAGGGAGAGGTTTCCAAGTTGAGCCATGCTGGCTCAGGAATTCTGGGAGTTGAAGTCCACGAGTCATAAAAGAACCATGGTTGCCTACCCCTGGCCTAGGCTATATTTATTATAAAGAGCAGATGCAATCTATATTTTAATGACTATACTGGTCTATTCAGCAGCAGCAGCAAAAGTGAAGTCAACACAGTAACACAGCATATGTTTTCCATCACGCAACTAAAAGACCTCATTGGCTTAGCCATTTTGGGAAGGAAGGGAGGAGTCTCCCTCAACTCTACCTGGCCTTGCCAGTTATCCTCTAAGCTTCACACCTTTGTAATGCCCAGCATCAAATTTAAAGTCAGCATTAAGTTATTTCACCACAAGTCAGTCAGTCATAGAATCACATAACTGGAATGGACTCTGGAGGAGCCAATCCCTGGTCACCAGTCATGGTCCATTGGGAACCAGGCCGCATAAGTGGCAGGTAAGTGCACAAAGCTACATCTTCTCCTGAATAATAGAATAACGGAGATGGAAGGGACCTTGGAGGTCTTCTAGTCCAACCCCCTGCTCAAGCAGGAGACCTTATACCTTTTCAGACAAATAGCTGTCCATAAAAGCCTCCAGGGAATGGGGCACCCACAGCTTCTGAAGGCAAACTGTTGCACTGGTTGATTGTTCTCACTGTTGGGAAGTTTCTCCTTAATTTTAGGCTGTTTCTCTCCTTGATTAGTTTCCATCCGTTGTTTTTTGTCCTGCCTCTTGGTGCCTTGGAAAACAGGTTGACCCCCTCTTCTTTGTGGCAGCCCCCCTCAAATACTGAAATACTGCTATTAGGTCACCCCTAGTCCTTCTTTTCTCTAGACTAGCCATACCCAATTCCTGCAATCGTTCTTCGTGTTTTAGTTTCCGGGCCTTTAATCATCTTAGTTCCTCTTCTCTGTACTTTTTCCAAAGTCTCAACCTCTTTTTTTGTAGCGTGGTGACCAAAACTGGATGCGGGATTCCAGGTGTGGCCTTACTAAAGGTTTTATAAAGCGGTATTAATACTTCATATGATATCACTCTCCCTTTACATCTTTCTTCACAATATTTGGTAAGATGGCTAAATCGAGGAAGAGGGGCCGGTTCAAAAAGGTTCAGTGAACTCCTGTAGCTGAAGGTGGCCTTGGCCTTTTTGCGACTGGACATCTCCCATTAGTGGAGGTCCACTGTCAGAGGTCTAGATTTAATGCCATTCACATGAAGCATCTCCCAGAAGAATAAATGAGGTGTAAGTGCCTGAGGAACGGAGGATCTAAAACAGGGGTCTTCAAACTTGGCCCTTTTATGACTTGTGGACTTCAACTCCCAGAATTCCTCAGCCAGCTAGTTGAAGTCCACAAGTCATAAAAGGGCCAAGTTTGAAGACCCCTGATCTAAAACTTTACAATAGAGGAAAGACAGAGCTTAGCCTTTCATTCAGACACAACTTTCATTTCCACTCCAAACTCGGCCTCTAAGTTGCCTACACATCAATGAATGTTGAAGAATTCGGTCTCTTTGCTGAATATCATTGAGGCAGTTTCTGTAAATCATATAAACCCTGGGGAATACAGTCATCTGTACTATCTGGTACATTGTTTTGATCACAAGTTAATAGAAGGAAAATAAAACACAAAATGCTGCTAATATTAGTATATAAACAAAGCACGAAACATCATGGGCAACACAAAATGAAAAGTCCTTAGAAATTCAACAACACGATCCTCCACTGAAGCAGATTTCCCACTGCTAATGCCACATCTCCCTTTAAGTTTCCTAATATTGCTTCTATTTTTTTGAAGTTGAGTTGACCATGAGCCAAACTGCAAAGGGAGATGAGAGAGAGAGAGAGAGAGAGAGAGAGAGAGAGAGAGAGAGAGAGAGAGAGAGAGAGAGGGAGAGAGAGAGAGAGAGAGAGTAAATTAAAGAGTAAAATAAAATAGCTGTAACTATAGAGCATTTGCAATTCCTAATTTCATAGGAAAGACTTCGAAACTGGCCTTTAATAAAGCAGAATCCATTTCTTGTAATTAAACTTTCAGATCTGAAGGCTCCCTTTCAAAACTATGAATAAATCAGAAGAGGTAACCATTTCAGCTAGACAACAAACAAGCAAAACCTGTTAGATTTGAAACATCCTGGAGAACATTTTGCAACTGGGTTTTGCAAGGACTGCCGATGCGTTTCCCTATCTAGAAACCCCATTTCACCTCTTACACAACTCGGAACTTTGAAAAATCAGTCTCCCCGCTTTGAACGGAATAATAATAATAAAAAAACTGGCTTCTTTTCCAGATCTGCACAATAGAGGAGCTTTCAAGCAGCTGTCTTTTCAGAGAGATGTCTTTTCAAGTCCAAGTGTATAAACCGGGTGGTTTTCAACAAGCCCTCCGAGAATATTTAGAATCTCAGCCAACTGACCAGTGATGGGGAAGGTTTCTCCTATTTCCATTTAAGTGCATCCATCCCTTGAAAAAGAAAAAGAAAGAAAGAAAGAAAGAAAGAAAGAAAGAAAGAAAGAAAGAAAGAAAGAAAGAAAGAAAGAAAGAAAGAAAGAAAGAAACTGCTTTCAAGATGCCATCAATAACATCTCAACCTCTGCAAAGGAGGGCTGACTCCCAACATCAGCACAAGCTCCCAGGAGTGAAAAAGCAGGGTTTAGCTCCCTGGTTCAGACAATGCCCCAACGATTAAACTGATGCCAAAACACAACACAGGAAGCAGAAGCTTAGCAAGGAACTTTCTGAGTTCCTGGGCTTGAAGTGATGGACTTGGCTGGTGACACTTCAGAACATCTGAGTTTTCCACGATCGAGCTTCTCAGTCTCAGAAAACAGTCCTCTCATCTTGAGAAGTTGGAAGGGGAAGCATTTTTTTTTAATACAGAAAAGATTGTGTATAGAGGAGTGCGACACCCCCCCCCTTTTCTAATTTCAAGTCAATAGGACACTTTGCGCTGTCACTTGAAGGCAATTGGGACCCAAGGTGTACAGTAGCTAACTTGTTAGACAGGCAGGCTTATCAATGAGTAAAACAGATAAATAAATAAAATAGATACAAAAACGGAGGTACATGAACTTCGGTTGTGTCACTTCCTTTATTTATGCTTCCTTGAAGGAAACAAGTTTTCTTCTGGGTGTTTTACACAGCAATTCAGAAGAAAGGGGCTGCTGAAAAGAAAAAGAGATATCTATATTCTATGAAAAAGCTGCCCAGGAATTACCTGTCAATGGCAATTGCAACAGCACTTAGACTTATATACCGCTTCACAATGCTTTACAGCCCTCTCTAAGTAGTTTGCGGAGTCAGCATGTGGCCCCTAACAATCTGGGTCCTCATTTTACCGACCTCGGAAGGATGGAAAGCTGAGCCCACCTTGAGCCAGTTAAGATCAAACTCCTGGCAGTGGACAGAGTTAGTCTTTAATACTGCAGTCTACACACTGTACCACAACAGCTTGGTAGGAAGAGGGAGGAAATGGGAAAAGCAAGGTAGCAATAGCACTAAACCAGGGGTAGGCAACCTTGGCTCTTTTATGACTCGTGGACTTCAACTCCCAGAATTCTGAGCCAGCCATGCCTGAGGGCAAAGGGAGAGGTTTCCATGCTTAACCATGCTGGCTCAGGAATTCTGGGAGTTGAAGTCCACGAGTCATAAAAGAGCCAAGGTTGCCTACCCCTGCACTAGATTTATATACCGCTTGATAGGGCTTTACTTTACTCTCTAAGCAGTTTTCAGAGCGTATTGCCCAACCCCGAACAATCTGAGTCCTCATTTTATTGACCTTGGAAGGATGGAAGGCTGAGTCAACCTTGAGCCAGTCAGGATCGAACTGCTGGCAGTGTGCGGTGAGTTGGCTTGCAATACTGCATTCTCACCACTGCACCACCACGGCTCTCTATGCTATGTCAGCATCAAGTCTGTTTAGCAGAAGTGTCCCCTGAACTTTTGATGCCCTTCTACCGTGGCAAAAAATTGTTGATAGTAACACGAAAAACATAATGACTGGGATGCAAATAAACATTTACCTGAAAGAAAGACGAGCTGTTTTACCACAGTAATTTAACTCTCTTATTTTGTCTTAGATCTGCCAGTGTTGTCAGTCTCCTCTGCCAGAGTGAGCAGTCTCAATATGTTGGGAGTTAGTGAACACTTAATGTAAGACCCACCCCACTTTGCATCTTAAGCAGACAGAACTCTTGGAATATTTCTTCCAACAGGCATCCTTTATTAAGAGAAAATGGTTGCAGCATTCTAGACAGGACTTGGGGCCCAAGCCCTATGGTTCAAGGTTTTAAGGGGTCCCCAGAAGCCCCACCCCACCATCTTTCCAGCGACAATCCCAGGTATTACATTTCCACCCCCCTTTTCCTCACTGCTGGCGGGAGACTTCAGAGGGGAGTAGATGAAAGCTGATGGCCCCATGGTTATGATTTAGTCCTTTTGGTGGTATCCACATTCAGTCCCTTTTGAAGTTGTACCAAAGGAAGTGAGGGCCATAAAACCCCTTTGTTCACCCCCCTTCCCCTTCATCCTATGACAGAATCCAGAGAGGGCAGAAATGGGGTTTTCCATAGTCGATAACTAGAGATGAAATATAATTGGATTCTGACACACTTGTCTTCGTGGCAACCCCATTCTTTCTTCCAACTGAGCTTATTTCTGAGCATCACATCACATCCTCCCTAACCTTGAAGAAAACTTTCCCTTGCTTCCTGATGGCCATCCCTCATGCCTTTTAGATCAGTGGTTCTCAACCTGTGGGTCGGGACCCCATTTGGGGTCAAACGACCATTTCACGGGGGTCGCCAAACAACGCAGTCCGCCATTTTCTTTCCCCCTTTTCCTTAGCTGTGCTACTCCCTTTTATTCTATTGGCTTTTGAAAGCCAATAGAATAGACTCTCTTGAATAGAGTCTAATTCTATTGGCTTTCAAAAGCCAATAGGAATTGTCCAGGCTGTCTCTGCCCTGCTGAGCCCGCCAAAAGTCCCATTCTGCAAACGGTGCTGCACCAGTTGAGTAGTCCTCGACTTACGACCGGTTGAGTAGTCCTCGACTTACGACCGGTTGGGGGTTGCGGCATTAAAAAGGTTGAGAACCACTGTTTTAGAAGAACCTCAACTAGGGTCCCTAGAAAACATGACTACAAGCCTGTTAAGAAAATAAACAGCAATGCTAAACCTCTAACCGTGGAAGAACCTGTGATACCAGTTTATTTGACAAGTGTATTGATGGTCCAAGGAGAGGATTTAAGATGGACACTCCACACAGACAATCAGAAAAGGCTGCCTTGAAACCTTCTTTGCCCTCCCAGAAGAGTCTTTTTATGGGTAAACAACTCAATTAAATCAGCCAGATATATTCTCTCCCCTCTTTCTTACTCCATTATTTTATTACAATATTGTAATAAAAGTACAACTCGCTACTTAAAGCCTGTTTTTCTATTTGATTTGTGGAAGACGTATTGTATTCCTCCATCTTTTATAGCCTGTTTGTTGCAACAATTCTTTTATTGGGCAATGAAATCCATTCATGGACAAAATAAGAACAGATTTATTACCTACCACACATACAAAGTTTCTCAGTAAAGATGCTTAAGGCACATCATCTATTTGCACGTCAGTTTTGGATTGTATAAGGTTTGGTTTTTAATCTTCTTCCCCTAAAATACCATTCTAGGTCAGGGGCTTTTCAACTTTTTCACCCATTGTACCACTTTTAGGATACGGCACTATCCGAGTACCACCAGTCACCTAGCAGCGGGGATGGGGTGGAGGGGGTGTTTGGTTTTTATTCCCCACCCCCACCTGCTGGGTGGTTGCAGCAGGTTTTGGTCCCTTCACATGACCCTGGGACACTGTGACCGTCATAAATATGAGTCAGTTGCCAAGCATCTGAATGTAAATCACAAGACCCTGGAGATGCTGCAACATTCCAGCTAATCGGCGCTTCTTCTGGCTCAGCAGAAGCGCCAGGATCAATGCTGCTTTCCAGCTGATTGGTGCTTCTTCTGGGCTCAGCAGAAGCGCCAGGATCAGTGCTGCTTTCCAGCTGATTGGTTATTCTTAAGGGCTCAGAAGCTGGAGCCTGGCGCTGATCCTGGCGCTTCCACTGAGCCCTGACAGCCCTGCAGCTCCAGCCATCTCTCGCTCAGGCTTGTGTTGTGCTGCCACCGGTTCAGCTCATTTCCCTCCCCATCACTTTTTTTAGGATGGTCGCATACCACCTGCCAGGTGCCAATGTACCACAGGTGGTACCCGTACCACTGGTTGAAAAGCCCTGTTTTAGGTGATGCACATAAAGCCTACTATATAGTAATAGTTGTGATGCGCCAAACTTCCATTTTAACACCTGAAATGTTTTTTAAAAGTAGCTCTAGAGAAAGATTAAGAAGACCAGAAAAGAATAAACGGAAGGATACAGTAGGCGAACATATTTATAACCTAAATAGGTCTCACCAACTTACTGGGTAATTTTAGCAAAATAATCTCTAGAGCAGCGGTTCTCAACCTGTGGGTCGGGACCCCATTTGGGGTCGAACGACCATTTCACGGGGGTCGCCAAACAATGCAGTCCGCCATTTTTCCCCCTTTTCCTTAGCTGTGCTACTCCCTTTTATTCTATCGGCTTTTGAAAGCCAATAGAATAGACTCTCTTGAATAGAGTCTAATTCTATTGGCTTTCAAAAGCCAATAGGAATTGTCCAGGCTGTCTCTGCCCTGCTGAGCCCGCCAAAAGTCCCATTCTGCAAAAGGTGCTGCAAGTTGTCTGCAGTGAAGGTGAGCTGTCTGGAAGTTTCCACCCCTCCCTGCTGAGCAACTACTAAAATTGTAAGTAAAAGAGGGCCAGGGGTGGGAGGTCGGTGGGCGCAGGGAGGGTTGCTGGCGCGTGGGGCCCGGCGGGTGTCTTACCTCTCTTGGGCTGGGCCAGCTGGTGGCCCAGCCAGTGGTCGCTGCGCCGTCTCTGCCGCTTGCCAGCTACGCCTCAGCCGGCGCAGGGGGTGGCACTAAGCGGCAGAGACGGCGCAGGCCGACCAACGGCTGGGCCAACAGCTGGCCCAGCCCAAGGGAGGTAAGGCACCCGCGCGTGCCAGCAACCCTCCCTGCGCCCGCCGGCCTCCCACCTCCCACCCCTGGCTCTCTTTTACTTACATTTTTAGTAGTTGCTCAGCAGGGAGGGGTGGAAACTTCCAGACAGCTCGCCTTCGCTGCAGACAACTTGCAGCACCGTTTGCAGAATGGGACTTTTGGCGGGCTCAGCAGGGCAGAGACAGCCTGGACAATTCCTATTGGCTTTTGAAAGCCAATAGAATTAGACTCTTTTCAAGAGAGTCTATTCTATTGGCTTTCAAAAGCCAATAGAATAAAAGGGAGTAGCATAGCTAAGGAAAAGGGGGAAAAATGGCGGACTGCGTTGTTTGGCGACCCCCGTGAAATGGTCGTTCGACCCCAAATGGGGTCCAGACCCACAGGTTGAGAACCGCTGTCTTAGGGGATCTGTTGGTATGAGATCAAGTATTATCAATATGACAATGAGACCTATTTATCCATCTCTGTCCTGGAACAATCAGGGGATGTTAGCAAGGTTCCTTCCTACCACCTAGACCAGTGATGGCGAATCTTTTAGAGACCAGTGCCCAAACTGCAACCCAAAACCCACTTATTTATCACCAGTGCCGGGTGGGCGTGGCTGCGGTGGTCATGGCAGGCTGGGTGGGTGGGGCCAGGGCAACGGGGGCCAGTCCCTCGCCATCTCCGGGGCATGGCACGTGTGCCCACAGAGAGGGCTCTGAGTGCCACCTCTGGCAGGCGTGCCACAGGTTCGCCATCACTGACCTAGACGCTGTGGGGTTTGGAGGGGGGAGCTGTGGTTCAACCCTGGCATGACAAGATGGCTGTGCAATCTTAAAGCCCTCACAGATCCAGAAATTTTCCATCTTTAGCTCTTCCCTAATCGAGGTTGGCATGCAACATGGGGGTCCTCCTGTGGCAGTCGTGGCTAGGAAGACCTTTGTATCATTTGTCTTGTGCAAACAACTGTGACCAGGAGGCTTGCTGACAGCGACTCACGTCTTAGTCATTTGGATTGCTATGATGTATTCTATGTGGGGCTGCCCTTGAAGAGCATTCAGAAGTTGCAGCTGGTCCAGAAAGTCGTGGTGCAGAGGGTTTTGGGCAGCTTTGAATAGACCTGTATAAGTGTTCTTCCTGAATGCAGGTCAACATGCAACCCACAGCTACACTCTCATGGATATGCTTAAGAACATTATTGCTCTTTCAGCGATCCTGCAAATTCTGCGGTTGGGTTGCCGCTAATTCTATTTATTTTGGGGGTTGGTTTGAAGACTTACAGTGTAAATTGTTTTATATTGTTTTAATTATAAAACTGGCCTCATGGGTATTATACCAGAATGAAATACATGTATTATTATTATTATTATTTTTAAAGGCTCAGTTACCCATTTATCTGCAAACATTATTAAAACTGTAAATCGAAGGCTAGAAATCACACCCTCTCCACTCCAAACTGCTCAAACTTCTTTCTTCGAAAATCTTTTGCATCGGGGATTAATGCCAGATAACCCACCTGTATATAAAAAAAAATTAGAAGTAGAATATGCTTCGCAAGTCTGATAAACTGACTGCATTTCTGTGAAGCTTTTTCAAATGAAGAGATAAGAAGTCTGTTTACTCTGATATAATCCTGACACTCTCCAGTCCCACAACTAACAATTATGTCCATGCCAAAGCAGCTGCAAGAACAATGATTACTCTTACCACATCATTCAGCATGCAAAGCTCTTTATTACAAGCTGAAAAAGAAACATGGGATCAGGGAGGGGCAAATACTTTTAAGCAAATTATGCTACATATCTGTAATCTTGAACAGGAAGATGAGGTGAAAGGAATTAAACCCTGGGCCACACGGAAAAGATACAGAAGACGATATCTGGAAAGAAATGGTGGGAACAGCACGGGGGAGAGAGAATAGCAGAGAGTAGAAGACCTTTAGACTACTGAGGATGGAATTTAAAGGTGGAATATAAGAATAACAGAGTTGGAAGGGACCTTGTAGGTCATCTAGTCCAACCCCCCCCTGGCCCAAGCAGGAGATCCTACACCATTTCTGACAGATGGCAGTCCAGTCTCTTATTGAACGCTTCCAGTGATGAAGCTCCCACAACGTCTGAAGGCAACTTCTGTTCCATTAGTTGATTGTTCTCACTGTCAGAAAATTTCTTTTTATTTCTAGGTTGAATCTCTCCTTGACCAGTTTCCATCCATGATTCCTTGTCTGGCCTTCAGGTGCTTTGGAGAATAGGCTATATATAAATGGCAACCAGAAATAACAAGGAACTCGGCTTTTGGAAGGCTTCAAAGCCAGGATGCCCTTTAAACAATTTGAGAAATAATGTCAGAGGCTAACCATCAGGAAGGAGAAGTATTTTAATGATAGACTTCTAGATAAAGCAAAGAATGAAGACTGATAAAGACCAAAGATGAGATGGAAGATAATCACTGCATGAATCTGAACTTGACAAAGAAGACAAATGAACAAAAAGGAAAAAAATGGAACTCAACGGTTAAGGTGGAATTACATATACATTGCAAATGGTGATGTAACTAGCAGACATGGAGATTAATGAATGGAAGACTGGATCTACTAGAGACAGACACAGGATTATATTGGCTTCCTCCGATCTAATATACTGAATAATAGCTCCCATTAGTTCGGCCACCTAACTCCTTTATCTTAACATATCAGAAGACCACAGGTTAGGAAAAGACAGACAGAGGAAAGGAAAACTACGGTACATAAAGACTGCCTCACTAATATATAAATTGCAACGCATGGTGAAGCATAAATAGGGGGAAAACAAGAAAAAAAAACCCCGAGGGACATCAAAACACAGGTTAAAGAGCATTTGAACACACAATGTGAGGGACAGGACAAAAACTAGCTATTATCTACGTGATGGAGACCTTTAACTTTGATCAAAGCCATTAAAGTCGCCAAGGAATTTGAAGACAAAGCAGAGACTTCAGCCACCGCAACAAAAATACATACTATTTCAGAAAGGATGTTTTTGGTAAAGGACACAGGACAAGGGACCAACAGCATAGTTGGAAAGGAAAAACTCTTCAAAAGGCAGAGATAAAGAGATTAAAGATCTTAGGGGCAAATGAAGCAATATCTGTAGTTTGTATCAGAATACAATATAAAAGCAGCTAGAGGAGGAGAAATGTTAATAATATGTTGGATTTTACAGTCTGTATTTTATCTTTCAGGTAACTTTGTAGTAGTATTGCAACTCTATTCATAGAGCTGTAATGTGTTAGCGATACACCAACTTTTACCGCTGAAATGACTATAATCTTTGTATCTCTGTCATTTTCTGTCACCCTATGCTGGTCTATGATCCAAATAAAAAGTGCCCTGTTATGTTAATGATATGATAGAATTTCCAGAGAAGATAGAAACCAGGAACCCCATACTAACAGGATCAAGGTAGCATGTGAAGAAAATGGATGAAAACAGCAAAATGACCATCTTAACTGCGCTTAAAAGACAGAAGTGGGAGTCTGGGAAAGCCAAGGAAGAATAGGTAAGGAAGTGAGGCAAAAGGGTCGCTGTGAATGCATTCAATTTAGCTGGGATAAAAACAGGAAGGGAAGGATGTGGAGTCAAAGGGAATGTCTTAGAAAAAAATCCAAAGGTAGAAGCGATAATCTGAGGATTGCTGAAGTGGGCAGCTGAGTTGAAGTAACTACAAGCAGTCACTGACTAACGTGTGTCAAAGCAATCATTCCAAGCTTCAGAGGCAATGGAAAAAGTGACTTGCGAGGGGTCCTCACCCTTTTGAGTGCTGCAGCGTCACCATGGCCACGTGATCCAAATGCGGGCGCTTGGCAACGGGTATCTATGTGCAACAACTGCAGCATCCCAGGGCCACACGACAGCCAGCTGGCTTCCAAAATGCAACGTCAGTGGGGGAAGCCAATTTTGCTTAATTGCATGATCCACTTAACAACTGCAGTGATTCACTGCACAACTGTGGGCAAAAAAAAAAGGTTGTAAAAACAAGCATGCCGCGCTTAACAATCACCCCGATTAGCGATGGAAGTCTGGTCCCAATTGCAATCCTAAATTGAAGACTGCCTATAAAATCAAAGCCTGCCTAAAGTCAGACCGCCCCTAAGCACTTTCACGTTTGAGACAAAGATCACAGAAAGTAAGTGATGGCGCAGTGGTCAGAATGCAGAATTGCAGGCAAACTCACCGCCCACTGCCAGCAGTTTGATCCTGACGGGTTCAAGGTTGACTCAGCCTTCGATCCTTCTGAGGTTAGTAAAATGAGGACGACCCAAATTGTTGGGGGCAATAAACTGATTCTGTAAACCACTTAGAGAAGGCTGTAAAGCACTGTGAAGCAGTATATAAGTCTAAGTGCTGTGGCTATGCTGAGGGCAAACAGAGCAGTGAACAAGGCCACCAAATGAGCAAACCACAGTGCAGAATTGAATACTTTACATCACGTGTGTCCAACCCGTGACTCACAGATGTCATGCGACCCTGGACAGCTAGTACTGCAGCCCTACAAGAATGTAAATTATGCCATTTTTAGTGATATTTATCTATACAATAACTATATTATATAGATCATATGCACCTGGAGACAATTCCTCTTCATTGAATGAGGCCCAGGTAAGCCAAAAGGCTGGACACCCACGCTTTATATCGGAGGTCCCCAACCCCCAGGCCATGGACTGATGCCAGTCTGCGGCCTCTTAGGAACTGAGTAGCACATCTGGAGGTGAGTGGCAGGCAAGTGAAACCGAAACCACCACCACCACCACGGTCTGTGTAAAAATGGTCTTCCACGGAACTGGTCCCTGGTGCCAAAAAGGTTGGGTCTCTCTCTTTTATATGAAGCATTAACACTCGAAGCGCTTTGCCTGCATCTGGTGTGGATCCACCTTTGCTCACCTACTTAACAGGCTACATCTAAGCGTATTTGCAAGGAGACGAGACGCTGACTAATACCTTGGCCAAGCTCACCCACTGCAGTATTGTTTGTCATGCTTGGGAAAGGCAGGATGAGTTTGACTAACAAAGCAAAAAGCTTCTCTTGTAAAAGCATTGCTTCTGACCCTGGCCTGATCATAATCACTTACAACTGGAAGCTGCCCAGAGAAAATGCCAACGTCCCCATCTACTTCTGGCATAGGGGTGAACTCAAACAGGCAAGCAGGCCCTCACTGGGCAGCAGCCCAGAAGCCGCCTCTTAGCAACCCACCCAAGCCAGTTTCAACTAAGTCGGAAAAATAAGAATTTCTACAAACTTAGCTTTCAATCGGTTCAATTAACAATTTGGTTATCAGAATGCATGCATGACAAATATGTATCTGTCTTAACTCAGGTAGTCTTCAACTGGTATAAGTAGACCAGTATAGGTTGACTGGTATAGGGCAAGGGTAGGCAACCTTGGCTCTTTTATGATTCGTGGACTTCAACTCCCAGAATTCCTGAGCCAGCCATGCTTCTCAGGAATTCTGGGAGTTGAAGTCCACGAGTCATAAAAGAGCCAAGGTTGCCTACCCCTGGTATAGGTTCTCCTGCTCAAGCAGGGAGGCTGGACTAGAAGACCTTCAAGGTCCCTTCCAGCTCTATTCTATTGTGCTATTGACGGCCACAATTGACCCCAACTGTGACAGCTAAGTGAGTTTTGTCCCATTCTATGACCTTTCTTGATACAATTGTTAAGTGAACCATTCCAATTGTTCAGTTAGTAACATAGTTAAGTAAATCTGGTTTCCTCACTGACTTTGCTCACAGGAAGGTCACAAAAGGTGATCAGATGACTTGGGGATTCTGCAACCGTCGTAAATAGGAGTCAGTTGCCAAGCCTCTGAATTCTGATCACGTGACCATGGGGATGCTGCAACAACAGTCGTATGTGAAAAATGGCCATAGGTCACTTTTTTCAGGGCTATTGTAACTGTTGTAAGTCAAAGACTATCTATATTAAAGCAACAAACGTCGAACTTAGAAAAATATGAAATCATGAAAAATATTACATACAAGATGGTACCCGTGAAGGGACGCTGAAGCATCGTTTCGTCAAGGAACACCTTACCTTTGATAAATCCCTATTAAAGGATTGTCACCCAAATCCATTCATTTGCTTGCTACAGAACTCCTGCCAAGTTTTTTCTGCAACAAGCACTAAGTAGTACCCTTACTACAGCATGTAAGAAAAGTTATGAGATGGGAAGATTATGTGGTCTTCCCAGACTGCCAGTTACCCAGGTAAAAGCCCCAACCCCTTTGTCCAGGTGAGTGCTTTAACTGTTTAAGATCTCCCCATCTTCTCACATCAGCAAATTTGACAAAAGATGGACTAATGCATCACCCTGATGTTTACTGCCAAGCAAAAATATCATTTTAAGTATGTTTCTTTGCTGCCTGCATTGTTCCTTAGCCTCATTTCAGGCTACCATGCCTATCATGTATACCAGGGGTCTTCAACCTTGGCAACTTTAAGACTTGTGGACTTCAAAGCCCAGAATTCCTGAGGAATTCCTGAGGAATTCTGGGAATTGAAGTCCACAAGTCTTAAAGTTGCCAAGGTTGAGGACCCCTGATGTATACCATGGTTTGGCACTCTAGATTCTAAAGCCTTTGACATATATATCCCTATTTAACGTTCACAAGTCCCTTTATAATCTGCTTCTGTGTTCTACAGATACTTGTTCTCGACATGCTGCAACAAAAACCCACATTTCGTGGACGCAAGCCAAAGGAGAGAAGGATTTCAAAAAAATAAATAACTGGGTGATTTAGCATCATGAACTGGATCTGCAGAGAAAGAAATACCAGCTCTAAGACGTCCCCTTGCAGAGCTGGAGAAAGAGCTAGAAGAATAGAACCTCTCCCTTTCCCCTCAGCAGGGCCTAGGCCAATGGCAAATCTTTTACACAGAGTGCCCAAAAACCGCTGCTCCCGCGCCCGCAGGGCCACCCACCACCTCCATGGCCCACCGCAGATCACCCAGGCGGCCCTGCAGCATCATGGTGGCCACGCCTTCCACCCACGACCCGCAGCATCATCTGTGTGCAACGGAGTGCGAGAGCAGAGTCTTGTCCCCACTGCCCGGCTGCCATGTCCTTGGCTGCGCTGTTCCGGGCAGGCCGCGCCTGGGGGCGACTCTCCTCCGGGGGGCTGCTGGGGAGGAGGGGAGCGTGGGGGGAGGCGGGGCTGGGGTGATGGCACACACGCCCACAGAGAAGGCTCTGCGTGCCACCTCTGTCACGCGTGCCATAGGTTTGCCACCACTGGCCTAGGGCACAGGTGTCGAACTCGCTGCATCACGTGACGTGTGGCGACGTGTAACAACTTTTTTTGCATTGCTGGAGCTGGGGTGGGCGCAGCCTCCGCATGATGCAAGCGGCCAGTGGGCCGGTAGTTTGACATCCCAGCCTAGGGTGACTCATTTGTTGGCTTCTCTATGACTTTGTCTCCATGACCTACATCAAGAGGGACAATTAACCTTAGATTAAGCCCTTTGGATAGCATGGGCAGGGAGGGGTTGACTAGGTAGTGTTGGAATTCAGCCATGTTTCTGAGCTGTTCATTGATCTTTGATTGCCAGGATGCAGGAGATGTCTTTCTAAGGAGTAGCTGAAGAATAGCCTATTCTGGCAAGTAGCAAGTTCATGACACATCCAGAGACACAACAGAACACCTCCGGTCTGCATGGCTGCTTTGGTTTTACAGGCATCTAGAAAAATAATTGCCAGCCTTAGCCACTTTAAGATGTATGGATTTCCAACTCTCAGAATACCCCAGTCAGCACTGCTAGCGTTGCTGGCTGGTATTCTGGGAATTGAAGTTCATAGGATGCACGAGAAAGTTATGCTGGATATGTTCACCATCTTGCGTTATTTGCAAAAACAATAAAGATGGGACAAAATATTTAAATGAAATGTAGATCTAGAGTAAAATTTCATCCATAATTATTTTACAATTTATTATTGTATATTTCCATATGTTTTTCAAATTACAGGGTTCGGGGAAAGATTGCAGTAGCAAGGTGCCTATGCAGCCTGCTTTAATTTGTGATTTCCTTGGTTTGGCTTGTCAGAATGCCAGTGTTGTGGTTAGATTAAAGTGATTATTAAATAGTCACTCATTCTTTTTTTTTTTCAAGCCATTCGATGACTTATTCCAAAACTTTGACCTTTTTCAGACTCATTGCCAAACTAAACACACATCCAATTGCAGCTGAACATTTCTTAGAATTGTTATTTTTATCTGAAGGGAGTAATTCTGTGTTTGAGATATTGGTGCACAAAAAAGAGGATGTAAATGCCATGGCTGATAAATTACTTCAAAATTGACAGGAGTAGAAAAAATAATAAAATTAAATAAAATTCAAATATGAACCCAAGCTGAAGTTTATCATTTTAATCCTCTCTCTGGTTTATACAGGATTTGATGGAAATTCTGTCAAATGCAGCACTGCCGCAACTTATTTGCTTCTATATAAACCTGCATCTGTCGTGCTAAAAACAAAAATCTGTTCCTCTGTAGCTTTTCTACTTTCCAGGTTTGTGTTTTTTATCTCAGTTAAAGAACACAGTTTGGATATTGTGGTTGTTCCATTAGTTTTACACTCAAGCAGCGTCTCAACCTTGGCAAATTTAAGAGATATAGACTTCAACTCTCAGAATTCCCAGTTGGTCCATATATCTTAAAGCTGCCATGGTTGAGAAACACTGCACAAGAGTCTCTGATGATATAGTAGAAGACTGCTTTGTAATTTCTGCAGTGGTGTTCAGCTAAGCATTTGGGACTGTAATACTCACTTCAGTGAAACTGGTGTTAATCCATCATTATTCAAGCTTGGTAGTGTCATGGAAGAATATTGTTTGCATCTGTCATAAAGTAAGCAATACATCGTCAATTGTCAAGTTCTGTAGGTAACCCTTCTGATCATATCCTGGGTATGTGCTAGTCTGTCTGTTAGTTTTTGTTTTCTAAACTTAAGGTCCCCCAGCTCTGTCTTTGAACCACAGACTTCAGGGCTTGAATATCCTAATCTTAATTTTTGCATTTCCTTGCTGCTTCTCCTCCTCTTCCTCCTTTTTAAAAAACCATTTGAGGCGTTCCATAATTTTGAATTAAGAAATGAAGAAAAATGATAAAACAGGGCAAAACTCATTTCACAAATGCTTCACTTAGCAACAGAACTTTGGGGCTAAATTGTCATTAAGTCGAGGACTGCCTGCCCTTGTACCATCTGCTTGTAGATTTTACATGAGAGTAAAGCTCTTTTTGGAAAAGGAGATTCAGTGTCTGATTTTGGAAAAGCTCGGAAGCTGTCCCGCTTTGCATTAGTAAGTGCATTTATTTGAGACTTTTTTGTAATTGAGAAGGGGTCCATTTGCACGCTGGAATATATAATTTTGGTCTCAGTCCTTTACTGTTCTTGCATATCCACTGTAAGCAGCCCTGTAATTATCTTACCCAAGCAGACTCACATCTAGATGTAAATAAAAATCTGCCACATCTAAGCTAAATGGGAATTTTAAGAATTGCAACCCCAGAACAATCCAAGGGCACGTTAATGCATTAGAAACTAACATAATGAGATGAATAAATGCAACAGACGCCGAAAGCTACTGATAGAGGAAGAGGCTGCCCTGGAGAGGTCAAGTGGTTCCTTTTTCTCCACTGAGAATGTTTTCATCCAAAGATTGGTGTTTCTCAACTTCGGTAATTTTAAGATAGGTGAGCTTCCAGAATTCCCCCAGACAGCCAAGTCCACCTACCTTAAAATTGCGAAGATTGACAAACACTGTACACATCTCTTTTAATGGGTAAATGGCCATAAACACCACATATCTCTGCAGAGTGAGGGAGGAGGTTAAACCCCTTGAGGTATAGGAAGACAGAAAGAAGATAAACTGATTAGACTTCATTAATCTCAGAAAGGGTTTTAAAGAGAAATGTAGTTTTTCTCTTGAGAATTTGCCTAGGAGAAAACATGGATTCAAAATACATGAGCTCAAGCATCCAGGGAGAAGATAAGGTGGGAAACACCTGTATATTATTGTTATTTCCATGTTGTTATTTTCAGCCCATTTTTCAGAGCAAAAGCCCTCAAAAACAGATCATTTTTTTAAAATATGAAAATCAAACCACAAAATTAGACACCTAAGTGATCAGCAGAACAAGAAAGACAATTGCGTCAAACAGCCTATTTAAAAGTTTAATACAGCAATGTTTCTCGACTGTAGCCATTTAAAATTATGTGGACTTCAACCCCCCAAATACCCCAGTCACAACACTGCTGGCTGAAATATTCTGGGAGTTGAAGTCCATACATCTTAAAACGGTTAAGATTGACAATCACTGATATAGTGTAACTAGCTAACTAAGAGCTAGAAGAAAGGAGTTAGCAAAGAAAAATTGGAAACTTTGTTATGGGGGAGACGATTCAAAGGATTTGGGGACACCGGTGAGAAGGCTCTGCCTCTGGTGGGCCAAACAGTAGAACCTTAGAAACTGATCCCAAAGGTGCATTTTCAAAAGGCAACTGGGCTTTCTTTGTTTTTCCTTGAAGACGTTTCGCTTCTCATCCAAGAAGCTTGTAGTGTTCTACGGTCTGGCCCACCAGAGACAGAGCCTTCTCTTTTGAACCATGGTCTGGATGGCTGGAAATCTCTAGCCACTCAGAAACTGGTCTTTGACCATAAGCAGGCTTGGATTATGAAGGCAAACCTGCAGTCACATGGCACCATTTAATGCCTTCAGCACAATTACCAGCACTTCACAAACTGGAAATAAATAAGGAGCCAACATCGTAACATGTCTGAGAAGACGTTTCATAATTCAAACATCTAGCTCCTGCAAGGGTTTGGGCTACAGATGTAGTTTCCAAGCCATCAGCAACATCAGCCCCAATAAAGCATGTAAACAGATGCTGTTTAGTGGGGGCAAAATCAGTTTCCTTTCGATCACAGTTGGTAAACAAGCCAACACTGTTAAATGATACGCCCAACCACTGACACAATTGCGGTTTAACAAAATGCCACATTGCTGACATCTCAACACCATCCCTTAGTCTTAAGGGCATGGTTGTACAACACATTCCCTCCAGGTATTTTTGAACACAATTTCCAGCAGCTGTAGTGCTGGGAGTCATAAATCAACAACAGAGGCATTCAGGGAGAATGCAAATCACTCAGTTGTGTATTTTCCAATCAGATTAACCCATTATTCTCAACCACAACGCACAGTTCTCCTCTGGATGAAGTTTCAACTGCCTTCCCTCCTTCAAGCCCAAACTATCCCATGACACTTGAGTTTCATGATGGAAGGAAGCTAAAAGATGAAATATACAAAATGTCAAGAAATTTTCCCCAATTGAAAGCAATGAGAATTCTAGATAGTCTTTGCTGGAATTGAAAAGCTGTACAAGCATAAATCCTGCAGCACAAATTACTTCAGGGGAGAAAGAATTGCTTGCAAGAGCTGCAGGGGGCAAGGACCTCATTTGCAGAAGCCTGCCTTCCTTTCTGCCCTTGACAATTGATTATTGAACTGAGAGGGAGACATCTAATGTTTGCTGGCTGGAAATGACCTGCACTGCAACACACACACCATTGTGTTACTTTATGGATACACCACTTTATAAGAGCATCTAACGCAGGTATATCAAACTGCCAGCCCGCAGCATAGAAAAACCATGCCCACCTCATTGCCAGCATTGGGGGAAAAAAAGTCATGATACATCTCGACAGGTCACATGACGTTGTGAGTTTGACACCCCTGATCTAACAGCAACTTCCTGACTCAATAAAAATGAATTGGAGTCAAAGGGGGCCAAAACAATCTTCTCAAGGCTTCAACATATAACAACAGTTACTGAGAGCCGGGTGGCATATACATTTAATATATTATTACTATTTCTAGATGTTTTAATCTCTCCATATTGTTAAATACAGGTAGTCCTCAACTTACAACAGTTCATTTAGTGACCATTCAAAGTTACGGCACTGAAAAAAGTTACATGACCGTTTTTCACACTTGTGACCTTTGTAGCATCTCCATGATCGTGTGATCAAAACTGAGATGCTTGGCAACTGGTTCATACTTATGACTGTTGCTGTGTCCCAAAGTCATGTGATCACCAATTTCAACCTGCTGACAGGCAAAGTCAATGGGGAAGCCAGTTTCATTTAACGACCGTGTTACTAACCTATCAACTGCAGTGATTCACTTAACAGCTGTGGCAAGAAAGGTAAAATGGGGCAAAACTCACTTAACAAATGTCTTACTTAACAACAGAAATGTTGGCTCAATTGTGCTCATAAGCTGAGGACTCCCTGTATTGTTTCTTATTTCACCTATCCAGGCCACTTCTATGCAGGAAAATATGACATGAAATTACATTAAAAATGTGGGAATAATATCCTATTCACTTTAATTAATTGAACTCTGGGAAGGTGCCCTTTGCCACGCATTCCCCAACAGGCTACTCAGGTCCACACAGCACATACATGACTCATCTGTGCACCTCACAATGCATGCATGCATTTCATGCCATTTCCACCCGAAGATACGCTTTCTGTGACAAACATACTAAGGAGAAAAATAACTAAAGCAGCTGAAGCAGAAATGACCAAAGAGGAAGAAGTAGAGGAAAAAGACAGGTCTCTCTCTCTCTCTCAGCCCAACCCAAGGTTGTTGTGGGAAAAACAGGAGGAAGTGTATTAGGTATGATCACTGCCTTGCATTACTTATAAACTAAAAAAGCGGAATAAAAATCAACTAAAACCTTATTAAGGAATGGAGGGAGAACCCTTTTTTGCTTCATGTGTGTGTGTATACTTAGAACGCACTCTCCCCTTATTTTTTTTTCATGACAGCTTTTTTTAGCTGTTTAATTGCATGTTAACAATGTTAGAATCCAATCACCAATAAGGCCTGATGCACTAAAATAGAACTGTTGCATACATCTCTGGCTACAGAAAACAGAAAAACAAAGGCGTATGCAGTCTAAAGAATATATATCATAAATATACCACCATAAAAAGGGGTGAACAAATACACCCATCTTAGTTAACAGGGGGGAGGGGCATGGTCCAGAGGTGGCCCCAAACTGGAAGGGTGTTTTTGAATCCTTATCTGGAAAAAAGGAGCAGGAAAGAGAAATTTGGGATCCAGGAAGGTCTGGATGGAGGGAAGCAGCCTGGGGGGGGGGGAGGCTTCTCCTGAGCCACTCCCGCATGGACAGAGGGTGTGGATGATGGGCTTTGTCTTTTGAATTCCAGGCACCCCTCAGGGTCACAAGCCCCGTCGGCGGGTGGGCGATGTGCATTTAATCCATAAATAAAAATAGAGGAGAAAAAAGACCCCCCCCCAAAAGGCAGCTCCGTCCTCCCCCCGTTCCTTAAAGGCTTCTTTGGGGAGGGGTTCCTTGCCAAAGGGGCGGCTTTTCCTCGCCCTCTCAAGCCTTCCCCCTCCCCCTCTCTCCTGCGGGAGAAAGCACTCTGCACGTGCTCAGAGAGCTGCTCCCAGAACCGGCCCAGGGGAGCGGTTTCCCGCCGGGCCCCACCCCCGCGCCTGCCCCCTCCTCGCACAGGCAAAGACCCCTCCTCATTTCCCTCTCCCCTCCCCCCAAAAAGGGAAGCCCCGCGGCGTGGGCGTTGGGGGGGGCGGTGATGCCGCGGGGCGTCCCCCCCCCCACTCACCATGGTACAGATGGAGGCGAGTCTCCGGACGGTCATCAGCGTTGCCATCCGCGCGGCCCCCCGCAGCCCGCCCTCGCCGCCATGTTGGCCGCCCGCCCGCCGCCCGAAGGAGCGCCGCCGCCGGAGCCGCGGCCGCCGCAGGTGGCGCCACCGAGACAGCGCTCCGGCTGGAGCAGGAGGCGGCGGCGGCGGCGGGGCGCGCGTCACTCGCCCTCGGCTCCGGCCTGCCCGCGCAGCCTCGGAAGGAAAGTTCCGCCCATCCTCCGTTCCGCCGCCGGCGCCGCCCCGTTCGGACGCCGCGAGGCTCCGCCCCTTTTCCGGGCTCGCCCTTTCGCGAGGCGCGACTGGTGCAAAGCGGGGTGGGGGCGCGGCGGTTCCTGCAACGGGGAGGGGGCTGCAAAACGTCCGGGCGGAGGAACCTTTGGGAGGCTTTTCTCGACCCCCGCCACATTTTTCGGACAGTCGCTCTGTCTCATGCGTAGACGGACTACTCGTCCGAGCACAATTGAGTCCAGAATTTCCGTCACTAAGTGAGACAGATAAGTGTTTAAGTAAATTTTGCCCCATTTTACAACCTTTCTTGACACAGTTGGTAAGTGAGTAACACGTCTGTTAAGGGAATCTGGCTCCCCCGTGGACTTTGCTTGTCAGAAGGTCGCAAAAGGGGATCACGTGATCCCGGGACCCTGCGACTGTCATACGTATGAGCCAGTTGCCAAGCGGCCGAATTTTGATCAGTTTGATCAGGTGACCCTGGGGAGGCTGCAATGATCGGAAGTGTGAAAAATAGTCAAGTAAATGTTGTCCCGTTTGACAACCTTTCTTGACATGGTTGTTAAGTGAATCACTGCAGCCGTTAAGTTAGTAAGAGGATTGTAAAGTGATTCTGGCCTCCCCATTGACTCTGGTTAATGGAAGGTTGCAAAAGGAGGTCGCGTGACCCTCGGGGGCGCTGCAACCGTCATAAATATGAGTCAGTTGCCAAGTGTCTAAATCTTCAGCAAGTGACCATGGGTAAGGTGACCAACCGTCCTCCTTTAGGGACGGCAGTCCTCCTTTTGTGAGTTCGGTCCTCCCTCAAAAAGTGTCCTCCTTCATGTCCTCCTTTTCGATATTTGAAGACTAATCTGCAGGGCTTTTTTTTTTAATGGTTTTTTTTTTTCAACTTTTGCATGAGCTGTGCTACTCCCGTTATTGGCTTCCGAAAGCCAATAGGAATTGCTGCTAAGCGCACCAAAACACCCGGCCGGCAAACTTTGCACATGCAAGTTGTCTGTATCATTGTTGCAATGAATAAAATGTTTCTTTTACTTAACGATATTTTTTCTTCAATTTATTTGTGTCCTCCTTTTCATGGTAAAAAAGTTGGTCACCTTACCATGGGGATGCTGCAACAGTTGTAAGTGTGAAAAATGGTCATAATCCACTTTTCTCAGTGCCACTGTAACTTTGAGCGGTCATGGCGTGAACTGTTGTAAGTTGAGGACTACCTGTATAGGAGACAACTTGTGATCCGTTGGGTCATTGTTGTAAATTCGAAATCACCAAAGGAAGTTGGGGATTATCTGTATTCTGAAGGTTCCAGCAAACCTTATGGGTCCTTAACAGCCTGCAATGGGTAATCCGGTCTTTTCAACCTTGGCAACTTGAGGATGGATAGACTTTGGTTTCCAGAGTTCCCTGGCCAGCGTGCTTTAAGGTGGATGGACTACAACTCCCAGCATTCCCTGGCCAGCGTGCTTTAAGATGGGTGGACTACAACTCCCAGAATTCCCTGCCCAGCGTGCTTTAAGGTGGATGGACTGCAACTCCCAGAATTCCCTGCCCAGCGTGCTTTAAGATGGATGGACTGCAACTCCCAGAGTTCCCTGCCCAGCGTGCTTTAAGGTGGATGGACTGCAACTCCCAGAATTCCCTGCCCAGCGTGCTTTAAGATGGATGGACTGCAACTCCCAGCATTCCCTGGCCAGCGTGCTTTAAGATGGATGGACTGCAACTCCCAGAATTCCCTGGCCAGCGTGCTTTAAGGTGGATGGACTGCAACTCCCAGCATTCCCTGGCCAGCGTGCTTTAAGATGGATGGACTGCAACTCCCAGAATTCCCTGGCCAGCATGCTTTAAGGTGGGTGGATTGCAACTCCCAGAATTCCCTGGCCAGTGTGCTTTAAGGTGGGTGGATTGCAACTCCCAGCATTCTCTGGCCAGCGTGCTTTAAGGTGGGTAGACTGCAACTCCCAGCATTCCCTGGCCAGCGTGCTTTAAGATGGGTGGACTACAACTCCCAGAGTTCCCTGGCCAGCATGCTTTAAGATGGGTGGACTACAACTCCCAGAGTTCCCTGGCCAGCATGCTTTAAGATGGGTGGACTACAACTCCCAGAGTTCCCTGGCCAGCATGCTTTAAGATGGGTGGACTACAACTCCCAGCATTCCCTGGCCAGCGTGCTTTAAGATGGGTGGACTACAACTCCCAGCATTCCCTGGCCAGCGTGCTTTAAGATGGGTGGACTACAACTCCCAGCATTCCCTGGCCAGCGTGCTTTAAGATGGGTGGCCTACAACTCCCAGAGTTCCCTGGCCAGCATGCTTTAAGATGGGTGGATTGCAACTCCCAGCATTCCCTGGCCAGCAGGCTGGAGCATATATTTCAATAACATTAAAATTGCCAAGGTTGAACCACAGTGCCCTAGAACCTAGGAAGGATCAACCTTGGAGCAATTTTTATCTGGCCTGTGAAGCCTCTCGGGAAGCGTTCCAGCTACAACTGATGCTCAGGAGACGCCGGGCACTTCAAAGTAATATTCAGCCCTGGAGCTGAAGGCTCTAGTTTAGGGTGTCCAACCTAGGCAACTAGTGGATGTCATCTCCCAGAATTCCTCAGGCTGCCAAGGTCGGACATCCCTGTTCTAGTTGCTGAGTCTACTCTTCTGACTTGGATGAACTTCTTCCTTCCTATGTTTAAATAGAGTTTGCAGTGTCGTTAATACCTGAGTAGTACCTGAGCAGGGGGTTGGACTAGGAGACCTCCAGGGACCCTTCCAACTGTTATTCTATTCTGTTATGTCCTTAAGGATCAGCAGAAATCGGGGCGATATTTTCTTTCCCCTGCTCCTCACCATTATCCATTTTCTCATGAATTTCACAACCCAAATCTCAGGAGAATTCCTTCCAGTCCATTTCGTAATTCTCTTCTCCATTTCAGGAGCCAGCCTGAGTTCCCTTGCTTGTGTTTCTCAAGCATGCTGGCTGGAGAATCCTGGGAACTGAAGTTCACCCATCTTAAAAATTGGTAGTCAAAAAACACCCTGTGTCAGCCTCACATACAATCCAGCTTCCCATCGGCTGTCTTTCCACCCCCTCCCAATTTAAATCCTCCATCTTGAAGTGAGCTGCACCCACACTATTAATTAGTTTGTTTATATTTCATGTTTCTAAACCGCCCATCCACTTCAAAGCTATTTCATCAAATCTGTGACTTGGAAAAGATCAGAAGAGGGTCAAAGCTTGTGTAATGGTTTACGCAGTGTTTCCCAAACTTGACAATTTTAAGGCATGTGGACTTCAACTCCCAGAATTCCACAGCCAGCGTTGCCGGCTGTGGAATTCTGGGATTTGAAGTCCTCATGCCTTAAAATTGTCAAGTTTGGGAAACACTGGTTTACGGTTTAGAATTAGGTATGAGCCAGGACACTACGGTTGGTCGAACAAACTGATACGTAGCCATCTAGATCGGGGTTTTCCAGCTATATGGACTTCAACTCCCAGAATTCCACAGCCAGCTTAGATATTGTTGAGAATTTGGGGGCTTGAAGTCCACACGTCTTAAAAGTTTCCAAGATTGAGAAACACTGACCTAAATTAAGAAGTTCCCCCACTTTTCTAGGGAAGGTTGCCAGTTTCTCTCTGGGAATATTTGTGAGAGATTAGCACCTGGCTGTCAAAGGGACAGGTGAGATAAATCCAGAAAGTCACCTCCGGATGGTCCTGTAATATGTAAGCAAACAAGATAAGGGTCCCTGAATTCTTTCCTGCCTCGGAAGAAACAATCTCTTGTAAAGGAACTGTCTAGCGAGTCTTCTTATCTCTCTGACCTTCTTCAAACTCTTTCTTCAGATTGTGTCAACAATCTCTTACGAAGGGGAAAGATTGGTGTGTAGTCTGTCTAATCTGCTGAGGCCACCTGTTCACTTTGAAGCTGGTTTTTGTTTCTTTGCTATCCCTGACACTTGGAAATTCCTCTCCAGACACCTGCATGAGAGTGCCCACTTCAAATCTTTCCCCAAATCCATCTTTTCTAGGAAGCGCTTGACTGTGCTTATTGGAAAAAGTGCCACCAGATAGAGTATCTTCCACTCTTTCTCCTACGGTGTCTTCAGAGCTAGATTTATTAGATGTAGAGTATTTATTTATCCTACCTTTATTATTTTATAAATAACTCAAAGTAACAGACATAACTAATACTACACCTTCCTAATTTCCTCAAATCCACCACCCTGTCAGGTGGGGTGTGCTTAGAGAGAATGAGGTCTTAAGGTCACCCAGCTGTTTTTCATGCCTAAAGTGGGACTAGAACTCACCATCTCCTGGTGATTGGCCCACCCAAAGTACCCCAACCGGCTTCATGCCTAAGGCAGGACTGGAACTCACCGTCTCCTGGTTTTTAGCCTGGCGTTTAACCCCTGGAGCAAACTGTCTGTCTCTGTCCATACGCTCCAGATTCGTTATCCCAAGCAATATTTGAAACGTTACACTTTAAATTTTAACTAGGAAGTTAATTAAAATCTTGTTATCCTCCTTTAAGGTTTTAAAACCTGATTTTATCTTGGACAAAGGTGTATATGAGTGTGCTGTATAAGGATTGACAATTGACTTGTGTTTGTCCTCAGATGTATTTGTTTCTGCTGTGTCTTGTTTATCTATTTTTAACCTGAAGTTAACCGTGCAGAGCTGATGTCTGGAATCATTTTTAAACCGAAGTTAACTGCAGGAGGGCAAGCATATATAAATGGATTAAATCGGTCAACAAACATGAAATTTCGGCCCGCTCTGTTGCAAAGCGCCCACTTTTGTTGTGGTGTTTCTTTGAAGGGTGCCTTGAGGGCTGAGCACAGAAATAGAATAGGCAGATGGTAGGAATTACAATGGTGTGAAAGAGACAAAATGTGTGTCATTGTATCACACTGCAAACTCTAGCCTTTCACGTTTGCATTCTGATGTCAGATACAAGTCCTTAACTCACAGTACTTGGTGTTGTCTCCTCACAATACACATTTTGTCCCTTGCTCTCTGGGCTTCTTAGCAGCTGCCCTAATTCGAAAGTTTGGGGTCGAACGACCATTTCACGGGGGTCGCCAAACAAGGCTGTCCGCCATTTTCCCCCTTTTCTTTGGCCACGCCCCTGGCACCCGGTGATGTATAAGTGGTTGGGGGTCACCACAACATGGGGGACTGTATTATGGGGTCGCGGCATTCAAAAGGTTGAGAACCCCTGTGTTAGAGCTTTCCTTTATATTCTGTTCTCCATGGTTTTTGATACTTACGCTGTAAGCCGCCCAGAGTCGCCTCGGATCGCAAGATGGGCAGCATCAAAATTTAATAAATAAATATTACTGTGTGCGCTTGGAGCTTCATAGCAACTTTCAGTCTTTTAAAACGATATAATACAGATATCCCTCGACTTAGGACAATTGAGCTCAAACTTTCTGTTGCTAAGCAAGACAATTATTCAGTGAGTTTTGCCCCATTTTATTCCCTTTCTTGGCACAGTTGTTAAGTGAATCACTGCAGCTGTTAAGTGAATCTAGCTTCCTCACTGACGTTGCTTGACAGAAAGTTGCAAAAGGGGATCCCGTGACCCTGGGACGGTGCGACCGTCATAAATACGAGTCAGTTACCAAGCGTCTGACTTTTGATCATGTGACTCTGGGGATGTGAAAAACGGTCCTAAGTCCCTTTCGTCAGTGCTGTTGTAACTTTGATCACTAAATGAACTGATGTAAGTCAAGGACTACCTGTAGACCAGACAAATCGGTTGAGTCATGGAGAGATTTCCTTACAAGTTTCCTTCAATAGTGGCAGAGCCTAATCAAACCCCCTTTTATTCTTTTTTTCTTTCCTCCTGTTCCCAGATCCGCACCCCCCCCTCTGAAGCCGGGTTACTCCCTACTGCCCTCCCAAAGGTGCTTTTCCAGAGGGCAACTGGGCTTTCTTGATTTTCTTTGCTTCTCATCCCAGAGGCTTCTTCTGGATCAGTGATTCTCAACCTTTTTAATGCCGCGACCCCCAACCGGTTGTAAGTCGAGGACTGCTCAACCGGTCATAAGTCGAGGACTACTCAACTGGTGCAGCCCCGTTTGCAGACTGCGGCTTTTGGTGGGCTCAGCAGGGCAGAGACAGCCTGGACAATTCCTATTGGCTTTTGAAAGCCAATAGAATTAGACTCTATTCAAGAGAGTCTATTCTATTGGCTTTCAAAAGCCAATAGAATAAAAGGGAGTAGCACAGCCAAGTAAAAGGGGAAAAAATGGCGGACTGCGTTGTTCCTCATCCTTAATGAAGATATCTAGACTTCAACTCCCAGAATTCATGAGTCACCCATGCTGGCTGGGGAATTCTGGGAGTTGAAGTCCAGCCCTCTTTAATTTGCTCAGGGTGAGGAACACTGCTCTGGAGGGGCAAGGCGCTCTCTCTGTCTCTCTGTGTGTGTGTGTGTGTGTGTGTGTGTGTGTGTGTGTGTGTGTGTGTGTGTGTGTGTGTGTGTGTGTGTGTGTGTGTGTGTGTGTGTGTGTGTGTGACCTTCTATTCTACGACCCCTCCTTCAGCCCGTCCACCGCAGGGAAAAAGGAATGGGCGTTTGCAACCAGGACCTGGACTTACGGGGAGGGGGGGGGGCTTACTGAACCTCTTCCCCTGCAGAGGTGCCAGCGGGGGGCTTTTCATCTGCAGCAGCCCCCCTCCCCAAAGAAGCCATGCCCCCCCCCGCCCGTCCCATCCCCCCCCACTCCCCAGGTCCACGGATGCAGCCCCCTCCGCGTCCTCTGCAAGACGCCGTCCGCAAAGCCGGGAGCTACGGAGCCGAGCCGAGCCGGAGGCAGGGGAGGGTGGGCGAGCAGGAGGCCCGGTCCGTCTGCCTCTCCCCCCCCCCGCCTTTGCTGGAATGCCGTCCCGGCCCGTTTGATTGGCTGAGGAGCGCCGGAGTCAGCTTTCACTGGCGTTTGCAACGATGCAAACTTTCGCCTGCTCGCCGGAGCGGAGCCTTTGGGGAAGGGGCTGCCCGGCCGGGTTCCTTCCTCTAGCGATGCCGCTTGCCTGACCATGCCGGGCAGGGCAGCAGGGAAGGCCGAAGCCCCCACCTCTCCCCTGGAGGCTGCCCCCCTTTCCAAGACTCCTCCAAGCGCCTCTGGGGCTTTCCTCGCCTCTCTTCCCCTGGCATGCCCGGTTGGATTACTATGTCCCAGTACTCCATGAATTTCCTCCTGCTTCCCATCCCGGAATACCCGCTCCTGGAGTGCGCGCCCAACAAAATCATCAAGCTGGTGGTCCTGGGGGGAAGCGGCGTGGGAAAGACCGGTAAGTGCCTGGGGAGGTCTCCCCCCACCCCCCAAGAAGGGGTGTGCTCCCCTCCCCTCCCCGCTCCTCCGCCTCTCCCTTCTTTTGACCCGCTGCGCTTTCAGCCGCGTCTCGGTTAATGTTTGATAGAAGGATTGATTCCGGAGCTGGCCTTATTTTGAGGGACACCGAAGTTTGTTTGTTTGTTTGTTTGTTTATTTATGAGACTTATATACCGCTTTAAGTGCAAGCACTCTCTAAGCCAGCGGTTCTCAACCTTTCTAATGCCGCGACCCCATAATACAGTTCCCCATGTTGTGGTGACCCCCAACCACTTATATATCACCGGGTGCCAGGGGCTTGGCCAAAGAAAAGGGGGGAAAAATGGCAGACAGCCTTGTTTGGCGACCCCCGTGAAATGGTCGTTCGACCCCAAATGGGGTCCCGACCCACAGGTGGAGAACCACTGCTCTAAGCGGTGTACGCCAGTAAGCGATGTATATATATATTTACATTGCCCCCAACAATCTGGGTCCTCATTTTACCTACCCCGGAAAGATGGAAGGCGGAGTCAACCTTGAGCCGGTGAGATTTGAACCGCTGACCTGCTGAACACAGTCAGCTAAAGTGGCCTGCAGGACTGCACTCTAACTGCTGCGCCACCTCAGCTCTTCCAGGTTCAGGAGATGTTTTGCATTTCCAGTGAAAGAAGCCAGGTCTGGAGCAGGGCAAGCAGGAGAAAGGTCAGGGCAAGCAGGCCAGCCCTGGGCGTTTTGAAGAGGTTTCTCCAGAAGCTCATTGTCCTGGATTGGTCAATGAGAAGTCCCCAGGGTGGACAATCAGTGGTGAATGAGATAGAGCCATCCTGTGTCTTGATTGACCTCAGGCTGAAGCTGCAAAGGAGGGCTGATGGTTGGTCAGCTGGTGGTGAGATCTGAGTGATCCTTCTCATTGTTGTTAGTTGTTAGTTGCGAAGTCCTGTCCAACCCATCTTGACAACGTTCCTCCAGGCCTTCCTGTCCTCTACCATCTTCTGGAGTCCATTGAAGCTCACGCCTCCTGCTTCAGTGACACCATCCAGCCCCCTCCTTCTCTGTTGTCCCCTTCTCCTACTGCCCTCCATCTTTCCCAGCATTAGGCCCTTCTCCAGTGAGTCCTTCCTTCTCATTCGGTGGCCAAAATACTTGAGTTTCAACTTCAGGATCTGGCCTTCTAAAGAGCAGTTGGGGTTGATCTCCTCTAGGACTGACCAGTTTGATCGCCTTGCAGTCCAGGGGACTCGCAGGAGTCTTCTCCAGCACCAGAGTTCAAAGGCCTCCATTCTTTGGCACTCAGCCTTTCTTATGGTCCAACGTTCACATCCATACATTGCAACTGGGAAAACCATGGCCTTGACTATACGTACTTTTGTTGGCAGGGTGATGTCTTTGCTTTTTAGTATACTGTCTAGATTTGCCATAGCTTTCCTCCCCAGGAGCAAGCGTCTTTTATGTTCTCATAGAACACAGAATAATAGAGTTGGAAGGGACCTTGGGGGTTGGAGGTCGTCTAGTCCAACGCCCTGCATGAGCAGGAGACCCTAGACCATTTCAGACCAATGGTTGTCCCGTCTCTTCTTAAAAGCCTCCAGTGATGGAAGACCCACAACTTCTGGAGGCAAGCCCTTCTACTAATTAATTGTCCTCACCGTTAGGAAATTTCTCTTTAGTTTTAGGTTCCTTCTCTCCTTGATTAGTTTCCATCCGTTGCTTCTCATCTTTCCTTTTGGTGCTTTGGAAAAATGTAAGAAGTCCTCGACTTATGACCACAATTGAGCCCAGAATTTATGTTGCTAAGTGAGACATTGGTTAAGTGAGTTTTGTCCCGTTTCTTGCTACTTTTGTTCAATGAATCACTGTCGTTTTTAAATTAGTTAAGTGGAACTGGCTTCCCCATCAATTTTCCTTGTCAGAAGGTCTCAAAAGATGATCCCGTGACCTTGGGACACTCAGCGTCATAAATATGAACCGGTTGCCAGCTGTTTTTGCTTCCTTGGAAGCAAAAGAAACCGCCGCTTCTATCTCCGTGTTTACAGCATTTTGGTGAGTAATTTTTAAACGGACGGAGCAGTTTAAAGGACTTTTTCTTATATTTTAGGTGTTTATTTTTTTATCTTTTGATTTTTACTATTTTTCCTCCTTTTCTTTGTTATACTAGTGAAAGGACTTAAGATGGCGTTTTGAAAGTGTCGGAGTTTTTTTTTCCTTTCTCTTTTGTTTTACTTTCCCTTTTTAAGGATTGTTTTTTGCTTTTGCTTTTGCTTTTGGCTTAGAATTTTTTTTTTTTGAATTGTTTGCTCTTTTATTACTTATTCTTGGGATTTATTCTGGACTTTTAATGATTATAGTTTGTCTCTTTTTAAAAATTCTTTTTTTCTTTTTTTCCTCCTCCCTTTTTGGCTGGAGGGGAAAGGGAAGTGACAATTGTGCTTTTTAAAATGGCTTCAAAGAGGCAGCAGCCTTCCTCAGTACCCAAGGTTATTTCTTCTCCTATAACTTCCACTGCACATCTACAACAACAATCTAAACATGCACCACCGGCTCAGCCACCACCCTCCCCTCCTCTACCTGGACTTTCAGTGCAAGAGGTTAGAGGCATAATGGGAGAGATTGTAGTTCAAATGAGAGAGGAAATGACTCAATTTGTTTCACAGATTAAATCAGAAATTAAATCTGATCTCAAAGAAGAGATAACGGGGATAAAGTCTAAATTGCAAGAAAATAATAATGAATTACGACAAGATATACTGGCAGCTGTTTCAGGTTTGGCTACTGTGGTGGTTAAGCTCGATGCAAGGCTTGAGGAAGTGGAAGACAAAGCTGACTCTTTAGATGACAAAATTCAAGACGTGGAAAGGAAGGTGGACTCCTCACAAGAAGATATTTTGATGTTTCAATACAGACAAATGGAGTATGCTCTGAGGATTAGAGGCCTCAAGGAAGATATGAATCAAGATTTGATGGAGGTGGTTCTTAGTGATCTGGCGCTGGCTTTGGATATGGATAAAGGAGAATTACAGAGAGAAGTAGAAAAAATTTATAGACTCAACTCCTGGATTGCTAAGCAGAAGAATTTGCCCAGAGATGTGGTGATTTACTTTACAAAGAAGTCCCTGCGGAATGAGATTATACAAGCTTTTTACAACAAAAGATTTCAGATTGCCGCCCAAGATGTCATCATTCTAAAGGAAATCCCATCTAAAATTTTAAGAAGTAGGAAAGACTTTGCTTTTTTAACCAATGAGCTTAAAGCTAGATCGATGCCATTCAGATGGGAAATTCCGATGGGTATCGTTTTGAGCCATGCTGGGACACGTTACAGATTGAACACAGTTGACAAAGCTAGAGATTTCTATACTTCGGTCCTGAGTGCAGGCTCAACTTCATCTGGTCGGAAATCTTTGAGTGCTAAGGAACCTGAGCAGCAATCTGAGGCACTAGATTTGGTTTCCGCAGGGATGATAGAAGTGGCAAAGCAACGCCAAACGGAGGCTAAAGAGCAGAGGATGACTCGTGCAGCTTATAAGCGTAAAGAGAAAGAGCAACGTAAAAAAGAGCCCAAAGAGAATTCTCCTGGAAGTGCATCACCGCCGGTGGGAGGAGCAAGACCCAAGAGTTATGCAACACACGCAGCTCTGTCAGAGTTTGATGGTGTCTTCTCCAGGCTGCGTGCCAAGGGAGATGGCAAAGTTTTTGACCTGGAATGTTAATGGATTGAATTCTCCTCAGAAACGGAAAAAAATCTTTTATTATTTGAAACAACATACCAATGATGTTATTTGTTTACAGGAAACTCATATTCTACTTAAAGATCAGAAATATTTAGTTAATGCTCGTTTGGGATCTCATTTTATATCTCCTGCACCTGGGAAGAAAGGGGGAGTTGTTATATATGTCAAACAAAACCTGCCAGCTTGTCTGGTAGAATCAGATCCCCAGGGGAGATATGTGATGATTGAACTTGGTATTTATGGTAAGAAAGTACTTATAGTTGGACTTTATGCTCCAAATCAACAACAGGAACAATTTTATAAACAGTTACACCAAAAAATAACTTTGCTTGATTATAGATCGGTGGTATTAATGGGTGATTGGAATGGTGTCTTAGATACACAAAGGGATAAGAAAGGTTCCTCTCCTTTTCTTAAACAAGCAAGGCTACCTAAAGCCTTTTTTGATATGAAAGAAGACTGGGAATTAAGGGACTATTGGCGGGAACGTAATCAAGAGGAGAGAGACTTTACTTTTTTTTCTGATAGACACCAATCTTTTTCAAGAATTGACTTTTTCTTGATTACCACGGATTTGTATAATAAAGTAAAGAATGTAAAGATTTTTCCTAGATCACTGACGGATCATAGTCCAGTTTGGATGGAGTTGATTCAAGAGAAAGAGGAAAGAAGATCCTGGAGAGTTAATGAAAATTTGTTTAGACAAGAGAAGAATGTTCAAAAACTAAAGGAGTGTTTAAAGGATTATTTTGCTTTGAATATGTATAAGGGGACTTCAATGTCAATGGTATGGGATGCAGGTAAAGCATTTATGCGCGGTGTTTTGATAAAAATGAATAATTTTTATAAGCGAAATCAGACTCAGAAACGTAGAGAACTTGAAGATGAAATTAAACTAAAAGAAAGGGCTTTGATTCTAAATCCTTCTGATGAAAGTACTAAAGAATCTGTAAAGTTATTAAGGTCACAATTTAATATGTTGATAGCAGATCAAGCTGCAACCAATTTATTATTTATGAAACAAAATACATTTTGTAATGCTAATAAGCCGGGGAGATGGTTGGCTTATCAATTAAGAAAGAAACAGAGACTGAGAATAATAGAGAAAATAAATTATAAGGGTAAACTAGTTTCTCAGAAGGAATTAATTAAAAAATCTTTTTTGGATTATTATCAAAACCTATACAAATCTACTAATGTACAACTGTTAGATATAAATAAATATTTAGCTGAGGCAAGTTTTCCTAAACTG